AATTTTGAACATCATTAAATCTTAACTTATTGTTTCCCGATGAGCTACTCACAGCTGTGACCGTAGCATTCCAACTCTCTGGTAGGGAAGACAAAAGTATTAAAGCCTGTACTTCATCATCGAATTTGATGTCAATATAACTCAACTGGGTTGTTACAGTGTTGAGTTCATTGAGATTATTTGCCACCGAAGCACCTTCAGACATCCGCAGGTTGAACAATCGCCTCATCAAGTGAACTTTGTTTGAGGCTGATGGTTTCTCGTACATGTTGGAAAGAACCTTCATGAGATCTGAGGTCGTCTTTTCTTTCGCAATGTTAAAAGCAACATTACGGGATAATGTTAGACGAATAACTCCAAGAGCCTGTCTATCAAGGAGACTCCATTCTTCCTCTTTCATGGTTTCTGGCTTCTCCCCTGTGAGTGGTTGATGCATCTTCTTCTAATACAGATAATCCTCTATCTGCATCTTCCAGAAGCCAAAGTCTGTACCGTCGAACCTTTCAATTTTCATTTTTCCTTCGTCTGCAGCCATCACTCCAACTCTGATCTGACTTATCTGCTGGATCGTTTCTGACAATTCCTATGAGCTACCGTGTTTCAGAACACGATTGCGGGCAAATTTGTAGCGCCGACAAAATTTTGCACTATTCACGTTTTCACTATTCACGGAATAGTAACTTACTATTCATATGAATAGTAACACCACAAAAATTACAGAACTAACAACCAGCTCTGATACCAATTGTTGGGAAAAATATGCTGAATCTTCCCATATGGTCAGATCTGTGAAAGTGAAATAAAAGCGGAATAATTGTACACACCAATTGATAACGGAGTTCGGCCAATAATGCCTACGTCTCCAGACTACTGTAGATCTCTTACTAGGAGAAAAGAAAAATACACAAGTGTTTACAAAACACTCACAACTCACAATCCAATTACACCCAGAAGCTAAACTAAAACTCTCTAGTTTTTCTGCCTCTCACTGGTGCCCCTCTTTCTTTTCTAAGAGAAGTAATATTTTTGTGTGGGATGGAATACTTATGCTTGTAGGAAGAAGACCAATTTATAGCAAAAATTGGTACTGTGCATTACCATAAAATATGTCTCGTGGGTACCTCATGCTTGAATAAAAAATTGGCAGCCACCCTTTTCATCCTACGTTGCAAATGAGAAAGTTGGTTGCCCCACTTTCTTTGACCAACAGTTTCATGTGGAAACCATGGCATCCACCATGTTTCATGCGGAACAACATCAAATTATCTTGTTATGTATTTGTAGACTGCAAAATTATAAATTGGTTTCATGTAGAAAACATGGCATCCATGATTGTACAAGAGTTGCTGAAATTTTAAGCACTCTGCATAAAACTCAAACCAACAGTGAACATATTTATACACATCCATCATGGAAATTTGAAAGTGCTTTTTATTCAAATACATGGTGGGCAAACACTAACCAAAATTAATACAAAACTTTTATTTTGTGGGCACTTGCATGAAAACATGATAAACGAGCAAAGGCACTTATTTCATTGGATGAAACTTTTCCAATAGAAAAAGGATATGCAATGCAATGACTGAGGGTTATTTAGTTGGCAGGGGATGAATGTAACCATATACATTATGTATAGTTGTAGACATTTGAATTTACTAGAAAGTGTAAAAAAGGAATGGGAAACCAATGCCGCAGATTCAGCAAGCAGAATGCCTTTTGTCTTCTAAATAATCAATCATAATAAGCACGATTCGTATTCCAATAATTCATATATTGAGTCATGATCGTGACTCATGGAAACATAAATACTCTTTATGTTAATGGTCGAAGTTTCTACTGATTGTATTACAATTTGATCCATAAATGTGAAGTCAGTTCATACATAACTATTATTACTACAATGTATTACTCAACATGGTATACTTGGTCACTAATTCTAAAATGTCAAAATGGTCTCAAAAGAGTTGACATCTTTCATGGCTTGATTTTGTCACAGGTTACATCTCTCATGGTTGTGCTTATCTTTTTCTGATAGGAAAGGAACATTAATTAGTATGGAAGGAAATATACATGAGAGTAGGAGAGAATAAGATATCCTCCAAAAAAGATAAAAATAAATCTGAAAGGAAATACAAAAAGAAACCTACAACCAAAAGAGAAAGTAGAAAAGAAAACCAGCATAGGCTTCCCAAAACACTTGACAGAACGCTCCCTCAGTAAAACATATGCTAAGATGGAGTTCACTTTTCCAGTAAGACTTGTGGATGGCTATAACTTTCTTGTGTCCTTCTTTTTTCTAATTCTGGTCATCTACTTGTAGAGATTGACCATGCTCCTTCAAATGCAACTTGTTTGCCACTGAACACATGAGTCAAATTTTCTCTCATCGGTTTTTTTGTTCACAATCTCATAACACCTCACAGATTTCACCTTTTAAGCCTTTCTGCATCCAAGACTATGGAATATGCCTATTCTCGACCAATCAACAAGAAAACGCAAGCCCACTGTGACACCAAGACATCACTGTTTTAATTAAGCCATTGTTTAGTCCAATACCAAATCATTATTATCATAGCTGATATGACCAAGCTGTTGTATTATGCTATGTAAGTAAGGCATAGATAAACTGAAAGTTACCAATTTGAATATACAAAACAAGTTCAAAACATCACAAACAGCAAATATAGGTATGTACTAATTGTGCATACAAATTCTTTTGGACATGCAACTGCCATAAAACAAATCTTCCAAGTTTTCCTCTCAGCACGGCAACTTTTCATCGGGTCTACAACTAAAATTGTTGTCTTCTCATTGGCTTCTAAGATACCCAATCTCCAATATTTTACAACTATCATTTTAATGTATTCATCGATAAGTAATACTACCTCATGTTTTTACTTCTTTCTCTATTTAATATATGGCATTTTTATAATTCATTACTTAAGTATATTATATATATTATTGAGGTTGTTTTAAATTTAGAAAGATTATCAATGCGAGAGTTCGTGTTTATTGTGCAATGATAAATAAAATAAAATTCAGGTCAATATGTGAAAATACGTGTTTTACATAGAGAATGACATATGAAAGAACTCGAAAAATATGTTTTGAGTTATAGTTTAAGATTTTATATATTATCTCAAACAAACATTTATACATGTTTTTTAAAACTTATTTTTAGCACAATTAAACTCATATTTATTTAGGAAAATCAGTTTATTGTTTAAGAATCGAGTTTATCGAAGAATTGATAATGCAATTCTAGTCCCATCTTATTTTGTCTTTTCTACCTAAACTTTTCAAACATACTTTTTAAAATCCTTTTCTATATCATTTTAAAATTAGTTCTGTATTTTCATTTACATTTTTTTTTTTATCATCATTCATTCTTTTCTATATTTTTATTTTCATATTTTCTTAATTTTTCAATTAATTTAGTTTTTTCAATCTCTTCAATCAAGTTAACAAGTATAAAATTAATTTTTCTTCTTTATTTTTTTAAAATATTTTACATCAATCTTAATAATAACTAATATTATTTTATTTTTACTTTATCTTTATTAAGTTTTATTATGTCATATTTTTTATTTTATTATTTTTATTTTTCATATCTTAAAAGTTATCCTAATAAAATAATTATATTTTAAATAATTAAAAAAATTAAAATGTTATTATTATTTTGACCTAATTAAATAAAATTTGATTTATTAAATATTTTTTTATAAATTATATATTTCATATTTATTAATATTTTAAAATAATAACTTAAAAAATAATTAACTAATCAAATGATTGAATATAATATTATAATAATAATTACAATAATAATAATAATAATTATAATAATAATATTATAAATACTGTATATAAAAGAAAATAATAATTAAATATTTTTTATATACATGTTTTAATATAAATATAATAAATTAAAGTATATATTTAATTAATAATAATAATTAAAAATTATAAAATTATAGATATTTATTTATATATAAAAATATATAAAAAATTAAAATTAATTTATCATAAGTATAATTGTTATTTTTTAAATAATATAAAATATAGACAAATCGAGCAAGAAAAAATATCCAAAATTTAACAAAATAAAGATCTAATTTCTAATTTTGACATCAACAGTTAAAAAATTTGTAGACGGATCCGGAGGACAAAACACATTTTTAAACCGGCCGTTGGCATACCTATCTTCAACCCTCTCATTCAAGTAATTAAGACAAACCAAAGAATAAAATTTAAGAAAGAAAAAGAATACAAAGATACAAGCTATTTCAAAAAAAATATAAAGATAACCATCCTCTTCTTGAAATCATATATATAAAAAAAGAAAAAAAAAACAATATAAGAAATTTGGGTTAATATATAAAAATAATATTACATATCTTTAAAGTTATTTAGTCTTAGCAAGATAATTTTTTTATATTTGCACAAAATTACTGTTTTAAAGTCTAGAATAATTCAAGTATTGTAAATACTACTCTAAATGTATATTTATTGTGTGTAAATTAAGGGTGACTAATTGTTAAAAGAAATTCATACAATCAAAATAAAGATTATTGTGTTTAAAAATACTTGTCGATATAAAACTTCAAAAGAAAATTATTAAAAAAATACTCCTAAAGTTTGTTAAATAATAATTGTGTTATAATTATAGTACTAGAATTTGATATACTATTAACTATTAACCTTTTTTTTGGGGGGGGGGGGGGTGTAGAGGACATTTTTCGGTGTAAGACGAACAGGCCGAAAAGAAAAAGGCCCAACAAGAATGTTAAACGGGTCGTAAACGAATGACGCAAGCGCTGAGAGCTAAACCTTCTTCACCGTTTCGCCGCCGACAACGATTCTTCAATCCTCGTTCTCACGTGTGTGTTTGTGTGTGTGTGTCTATATATACACTCTCTGTTCCTTCGTTCGCCTTTTCACTTTCATCAGAAATCGAAACAGAAAAAATAAAATAAAAACATTGTGAATATCTTGGAAGCATGCCAGGGTTAACGTGCAACGCTTGCAACGCGGAATTCAAGGATGACACAGAGCAGAAGCTCCATTACAAGTCCGAGTGGCATCGCTACAACCTCAAGCGCAAGGTTCTGTTCCTCTTATCAATTTTCACAATCGATTTCTTTATTTATTTACTTATTTTTGTTAAACTCTAATTTTATTTTATTTTTATGGTTCAATCCAGAAATATTTAAAAGGTTGAGAATATGTAATGAAATAGGGTTTTTATGTCCCCCTTTAGTATTTTGACTTGTTTTTCTCTGTTAGGGTTCTTATTTTACTAGCTGAATTCTTTGGAGATATGTTTTGCGATATTTATTCATTTTCTTTTGTTATTTCGTAAATTTTGTTTTGGGTGGGTTGTGTCGAAACATGGAATGTGTTTCAAATCAGTTGTGTTAAGAACAAATTCATATATAATTGTTGGGGTATATTTATGACGTTTTAGACTCTGTTTAGATAATCTTCTGGAGCACTCACGAGAGGAAAATAAGAAAGTAAAATGATTTGAGTTTAGTTAATAAGCGCATAGACTGATCGAGTTTAAGCCATTGGAGAAGTTCATGTAACTGAGTTTATGTAGAAGTTGGATGAAAAACACTTCTATAGAAGTTAAGTGGATAGATGATTCAAATTAGTTTACTGGAGAAGTTCAGTTCATTTTAACTTAAAGTTTACGAGATTATATGATTAGGGTTGTCAAGCTTGTAAATAATTTTCAGATAGGGTATAGTGTGCTTGCGCTTGCCCCCTCCCCCCACACGTTTATATGTGCATATATATGAGATATCAAGTGAGAGGAGTAAATTAATATCTAGATGATTAGGATTATGAGTTGTTTAATGGTCATATGACCACTTGAAAAAGAGATGAGTAAGGGAAGCAACTTTCAACCATATAATTGGAATGGTGATTAAGATTAAAACAAATTAAAATAATTTTAACCAACGTTCTGCGATTGTTGTTTGGTTAAGCTATACTCCTCTTGTACCTTCACTATATATGACCATCTGATAAGGGAGGGGGAGGTTTTGGTGAGTATTCAATTAATTGGGAATAACTTGGTTTGTTTCCTTGAAAATATTAAATTAATGTCAAATTTTTAATACATATAGGTGGCTGGGGTTCCTGGGGTAACAGAAGCACTATTTCTGGCTAGGCAATCTGTGATTGCTCAAGAGAAAAATAAATTGAATGAGACCCCCATGCTCTATAGCTGTGCTCTTTGTGGAAAGGATTATAAAAGTTCTAAAGCTCATGCTGAGCACCTTAAATCACGTGGTCATATGATCCGGGCCTCTGAAGGAACTAGTCATGCAGATGAGAAGGCAATAATTAAGCCACTTCCAAAACGTGTTGTGAATAGACCTCCTCCTAGAAGAGAGGTAGATAGCTCTGAAAATGAAGAAAGTGAGGATGAATGGGAGGAGGTTGATCCTGAAGATGATTTAGTAGATGGGACTGCAAAGTCCTTGACTGATTTGAATGTGAATGAGCATGGTGAAAATGTTGATATGGATGAAGATGAAGATGAAGATGACAATGATGAGGATGACTTTGAGGAGTTGGACCCCTCAAGTTGCTTTATGTGTGATCAAAAGCACAAAACAATAGAAGACTGCATGGTTCACATGCACAAGCACCATGGATTCTTCATTCCAGATGTTGAGTATTTGAAGGATCCAAAAGGCTTCCTCACCTATCTTGGCCTAAAGGTAAATTTCTGTTCTTCCCCCCTCCCCCCAACGAAAAAAAAAAAGGTTTGGTTTGGTCGTAATTTCTCTGTTTTCCATTTTACAGGTCCAAAGGGACTACATGTGTTTGTACTGCAATGATAGATGTTATCCGTTCAGCAGCTTGGAAGCAGTCAGGAAACATATGGCAGCTAAAAGCCATTGTAAAGTGCATTTTGGTGATGGTGATGGTGAGGAGGAGGTAGAGTTAGAAGAGTTCTATGACTACAGCAGCAGGTTAGTACAGTTCCAACTGCTTTGATTTCAATCTCTCCCCTTTATAAACTATCTCTATAAAAATGACAAGGCTATTCATACTTCCAATCTCTAATGTATATATTCTTTGTTCAGTTACGTGGATGATCAGGGCAAGCTCATTGTATCTGGTGAAACAGCTAACAATGTAGAACTTGTTGGTGGGTCTGAACTTATAATCACCAGAAAATCTGGTGATAGGATATCAACCAGAACACTTGGTTCCCGTGAATTTTTGCGTTATTATCGTCAGAAACCTCGGCCATCACCAGCAAATAATTTGTCCATTACTGCTGCATTGGCTTCAAGGTTCACCTTCAAAACATTGTGTTCTATTTCTTTGTAATGCGGAAGGACATTTGATGATTCAAGAAAATCATAGTCACATGCTGATGGGATTTTTTTTTTATTTAATTGCAGGTACAGGAGCATGGGTTTAACCACTGTCCAATCAAGGGAGAAAATTGTGAGGATGAAAGTCCTGAAGGAAATGAATAGGTCAGGTGTGGAGAATATGCGTAACAAGATAGCAATGAAGAGTAATGTTATCCGAAACCTGCCAAATAATGTCCCATATTAGTCTCTTATAACTAAAGTGGTGCTGCGTAGTAGCCATTGCTACAAGTTTTCTTCCTGAAGCAATTTTATATTTCTTGATCTCATGAATCATCCACAAGAAATGCAAAGGAACGAGAATCACTTGATATGTTTTAATGAGAGGCGTTAGGTACTCTACATACTCTTTTTTTTTTGTCGTTAGTGGTTTCATCAACATCTGGATGATAAAGGACACCTTCGATTGGTGCTATATTTTAGAGGGTGAATTACAATATCATTTCACGGAAACACATGGAGTTTATTGGTGACATTTATAGACTTGAAAACAGTGGGGACCATGTTGAATGGAAATTTTAATTTTAATCCTGGAGGAGTTACTATTTTCAATTCTGATCCTCTATTTCAAGTTTGAGGCTTTTTGAATAATTTAGACAGTATTTCATTTTCAGAAATCACATGTATTTGGTGTCCTTTTACAAAAGCTACAAAGTTTATTTTATTGTCCAGGTCCATACACATGAAAGATTAATTTTGTCTTTATTGGTTTCATAAATTTTATGATCGTGTTCCATAGGCAATGATACCGTGGCATGAAGTATGTATATGGTTTTTGTCAGCGACATGGGATTTTTTTGTCTTCGAGAATTTGTTGTAAAAGTTAAATTTTGCAGGTAGTGGGAAGTAATAGAAACTCAAGGTTTTTTAGAAAATTATAATTTCATAGTAACATATGATAGTCATGTCATCTTCATGCACCATGAAGGATTATAAATTGGCCTGTGTTGAAAAAAGTGTTTGATGCACCATCCACAAGGATTGCCAATTTTCACCTTTTCAACGAATTTGTAGATTCTAAACATAAAAACTAGTTCCTTCTCCTTGAAGGTCATATTGTCTTGTGATTTGTTTGTTTTTCAACGAAATTAGCAAAATTCTCATAACAGGATATAATAAGTCCTAGGTTCAAAATTTAATCGGGATTTTAATAAAATATTATAATTTTAATTCTTAATTCAATAATACAAATATATTAAAGAATATTAAGAAAAAAATGTGTATATATACAAATTTATTAAAAAATTAAATTTAGGTTTTACTAAAACTATCATAACATATAATAAAAATAAGTTATATATAAAAAACAAATAAATATAATACATTTTATTTATAATAAATAATATTATAGGTTTCTTTTAAAAAACCAATTTTACTAAGAGAAACATATTTTTTGGAACAACAAAATACATATTTTTTAATCAATCGATTGAGTCTTTAGTCATGATCTGACCGATTTAATCTTTAAATCAAATCAAATTTACTTTTTAGATAAATCTAGATTGAATATGGTTGAAAATCATAAATTAGAATCCTAAACATAAAGAACAAATAAAAAAAAAAAACGAAATTGTTTTACCTGTGATTTTATACTTTGAAACCAATAAGTTTTAGTTTTAAACTACGGAGGTCAAACTCCAACCCAAATGCTTAGTAATGATTTTCACATCAACATTTGAGAAATTGCTAAGTCACATCTCTCAAGGTTTTTCTTTTATGAATTTAATTTTCATATAACAGTAGCATAAATTTTCTGTTGTCAGTTAATTAAAAAATTTCATAATTATTATAAAAATCAATAATGTTAGTGTACATAATAATTTATCATTGAGTGATACTTTAAAAAACATTTATATTGTCAAAAATAATTTAGTTCAAAATCCTTTTTATAAAGTTATTGAACATGTGTAGAACATAAAAGCATTTCTATATTATATATATATAAAAAAAAATGATTGTCAGGGTAACAAAATAATACATGTCCTGAAGGTGTAGGAGTTTTTACATTCTAAAGTAATAAACAAAATTAGTCATGCATAATAGATTTATTCTTCTTTTATATTAACTAGCACATAATTTGAAATTGTTTTACAATATAAAAATATTCATATTGATTATATTAAAATTGTTATTTATTGTACTTGAAAGAATTATTCAAAACTTTTAGGGAAGAAATCAAATTCAACCGTCATAAAATATATTAATTCCTCCAACATTTAAAATCCTCTGTCAAATGTGATTATTATTGCTAAATAATTTGATTATGCCAACCATATTTTAATTTAAACATATCAGTATGTAAAACTGGTCTCTTAAACCAGACATCCTCTTACTTGGCCTATTTGTTTTGAAGTTGATTAGAATTTGTTTTAATAAAATTAATTTTAAACCATTAAACATGATTGAGATAAAGATATAAACGTTTAAATTAACCTCAATTATAGATTTGACATTGAAAGGAATTGATTTTACAAGTCTATACATGCTATAGGAAAAGATTACAGAATTCTTATTTTTGCACCAAAACTTGAAAAATTGTGTTAGATATTTTAACATAAAGTTCAACTGGAACCAAATTGAATCCAAACAGAAACCACCTGTAAAATTATGCAGTTACAAATGTATGAATTTGCAAGTGCTGACATAAGAAGTCACATGGGCAATTATATCACACTTTTTCAGTGACATAGAAGCTACCATCTTTGTGTTGTTCTAACATATCACAATCAATTCACTATATCCTATATGTACAACCAAAATAAGATCAAAAAAATTCATTGTTCCATAGTTATGCAGTAGAATGCTAGCTAAATCATTGTGGTTGCCTATGAGGAAATTAATTGGCAAATTCTAAAAGAAATGAAAATGGGTATGTGCCCCACATGGAAGTGTCAAATTTACAAAGTCCTCAATCACCAAATCTCAGGGTAAAAGCAACAGAGGAGCTAAATGTAATCTTTACATGGCACATCACAGGTTTTTTCATGTCCCTTGAACTTTTGCTTTCCTTCAATTCGCATACTGTCTGCAAACACTGAGAAAATTCACAAGAAATCTAAATAAAGGTAATGGAACAAAAGCCCTCAGCACCATGGCTGTGCACTTTCAAGACAGAAAAAAAATTCTACAATTAGCAGTGTGTTTAAGTCATCAGCACCTTTTAACAATAACAGAAAGATGAACTCTTGAGCAGTCAAAACATACCTAATTGTCATTAAAGCGGGAACGGCGTCTATGGGATCTGTGAATAACATAATTGTCATAACGATAAATTCAAAGTTCAAACATCAAAATAAAACATTTAGTCTAATACACCTAAGGTAGTCCTAAGATTGATGATAGTCAGTCACATTGAATCATTGGAAAATGGTAACATGTGCAAACACTCGAATCAGATGAAACTTGATCATTAACTGTCAAAGAAAGTAGATTCTCTGACCAACATTGGAAAAAGAAAAGAGGAGTATCATACCATTCTATTACATAAATAGCAAGTAAAAAACTATCAAATAATAACTTGAAATAGCTAATTAGTACCTAGTTTACAACTGTAACATTTGAATGAACCACAAAAACTTAGGTTGCAAACAATGCATATAAGATCAAGTTTCTTTTTCAATAGGAACATTTTGTGTCTAATTACACGTTTTACAATAATGCAAATGAAACACCACTTGCTCAAATAGAAAGTTAAATCATTGAATTGGAGGATAGTAACAAGATTAAAATGGAAACGTGGAAAATGGTAACTTGTTTAGAATGTTAAGCATCTTTTGAATTCATCTTTAGCAATAGAACACTATTTATCATGAAACCAAAAGAAAGAGTGAAAAAGTTATGCATGCTAGTCTTGTACTGAAATTACCAAAGCTTAACAACCCAGAAATAAAGATATGAGATGTAAAAGTGAATAATGAAGGAAAAGTCTATGCACCTGCGATAACCACCACTGCTACCCCTCGCAGAGCCACTAGTACTAACAAAATCATCATCAGCCTCTTCTATTCTATAATCTGCATACTCCATAGATGCTACGGAACCTTCATCAGAATTTGAAGTATCATAACTTAATCGGCGATTACCCCTTCTTGTCTGACTGACTCTTGCCCTTCTTCTATTTCTCGATCGTCTGAAGTTATCAAAGTACAGAATACAAGAGGTCCACCAGTTGCCCTCATCTCCAGGGAAGTCCTCAAATTCATCTCTAGCATCGTCATCCCCATATTCAATCACATAATCTCCTAGAACCACCCCTCTAGGAATTTCTGAATGAATAGTACTCAAAACATCTATGATCTCTGATGATTGTTGAAAATTCTCCCAATCAAGTTGGCGGGCAGGATCAACTTTTGAGGGGCGTGCATGAGGATGTTCAAGCTGAACATGTTTTTGTAGCTCCAGGTAACTTCCCATGAATGTACATTGCACCTCATCACAACAGCGCTTCTTCTCATCAAGATGACCGCGAGCTTTATCAATGACAATCCACCCAGAAACCTCACCTCTACACAAGGGACAAGTCAAATTGCATTGATCATTTGACTCCTTAGAATCACTATTTTCAGCGTTTTCAGCAGAAACAGTAGTAGATGTAGGAGAGGATGGCACGCCACAGGAATTTCTGAAGCGATCCAAACAGTTAGAGTGCAATTGATTTGTGTCACAGACAAAAGCACGACATCCATTATCAAAGGATGAACACTGGAGAAGAACACTATTATGAGGAAAATCCAAACATATAGGACAGACTACATCATCCCAGTTGATATTTAATTCAAGATCCTCCATGCTTTTTACACAAGACCCAAAACCATATACAGGTCTCTTATAAACAAACCATATTTGTGCTAGTCAATTACATTCTCCTTGTTCGTCAAAATCAAAACATGGAGATGAAAACTTGAAAATGTATCAAGAAAACTGTATCCTGGAAAGAGACAAAGAAAATCTAATTTAGAATCATAAAGCAAAGATACTTCGGAATTTAAAGAACTTTAAACATTTAAATGTGAAACTGCAACAACGAATTTAAATGTGAAACTGCAAACACATAAAACCAATCAGAACGAAGTTCCATGACAGCATTTTCTCTTACTAGACTAATGCAGAATATCAACAAAAAAACACGTTGAAGGTGCCTGTTAGAAAAAGTTTATTATTTTCTTCTAGAATATTTTGTAGAGTTGTTTTTTGCCATACCTGTCAATCATTTAGGGTCCTACAGTATAGGTTTTCTTATCAACCTTTTGTATTGCAGATTGCATATTCTGTATATTAATAGATCAACTTAGAGGGATCTGTCAAACTTCATTTTTCTCCAAAACTCCTTATTCTCAACTTGGTATCAAGGCAGCTTCAATAACGCTCTTCCTGTCACACTTGGCTGCCATTTACCATCTTTTTCTATGGCAACCATCAGAGCTGATGAGCCTTGTTAAGCAATGCACAACCTTGGTGGTCGCCAAGGCATAAGCCTTTGTATGTGCCTCCCATGCCACCGCTTTACACTTATCTGTTAGGCGAATGAAGTCCACGCATGACCATCTGGTGACTGGAACAACCTCACACCTCCTCCATCGATCTCCTCAGTGCTTCTACTTTCTATTTCAACCCTCATTTAAAGATTCCAAGTGTTCAGCTCCCCTTTCTTCTCTTTTTGGACATCCTTTCATTTGTTTTCCATGTACCATGGCGTCTAGACCAGTATTCTCCTTCTATAGAATTCCCACAATAACTTTGGAAAAACTTTATGGACAAATTAATTGAACTATGGTTTCTTGGCTAAGAATTTTATGATCACCTTGAAAATGACAGCAGCGAAATTTCATCAGAGAATATTGAGCAGTGGAAGAAGTTGATTGTCAACTTTGTGCTTTGCTTTGGCTGTCCATGGACCCCAACAAAACATATTAGGGTCTACTACAACTTCTAAAACATGCTATTCCTTTTGGAAGGAAAAAGGGTGAAGAGTATCTTTGCAAATTATATTCATTACCTCTATGATTCTACCAATAAGCTAGCATCTCTTAAACAAACAAACCATGATATGACCTCCTTTATTGCAAAAGCTCAAAAGCTTTATTAGAAGAAATTTGACAAGTTGTATCTTGTGATGATTCTTCATGCCATAAATCCAAATGTTTGATAAAGTTTGTGATCAAATTCTAACAAGTCAAAAAGTTCCATCAACGGAGAGCTTGACAACAAAATTTATTTGTATTCCAACCCCTAAGAGTGGAAATGTCTATGTTCCAATTGAATCTTTTGTAATGGTATCCACTTGAAGAAAAGGAAGTTGCAGCAATAGAGGAGGTCATGATGGTAGAGATGGACATCCTCAATGCTCCTCAATAAAGCACTTGTTCATCCTAAATGGTGACAAGCCATCATTGTTGAAATGCAAGCTCTTGAAAATTAGTGGCATATGAGAGTTGAGTCATCTTCCACCTCAAAAGAAGGAAGTTGGATGTCAATGGGTCTATACCACTAAAGTAGGGCTCAATAGTGAAATTGACACCCTTAAGGTCAGATTGGTAGCCAAGGGTACATTTAAATATATGGACTTGATAATGTTGATATTTCCCTTGTTGTCAAGAATACAACTGGTAGTTTCTTCCTAATTATGGCATCCTTTCGTCTCCTTGGCTCTTTGTCGCTATGACAATCATTCATCATTGGCCTCTCCATTATTCGAATTTTAAAAAATGTCTTTTCATGGTAACTTCTAAGAGGAGATTTGTATAGAACGAACCTCCTAGGTTTGTTGCTCAAAAAGAGTGCGAGTTAGTCTTTAAATTATGTCAATCTCTCTATGGGCTCAAACAATTCCCATGAGCTTGATTTAGGAAATTTAGTTACATTGTGCATACTTTTGGACTAAATTGTATTGAGACGGATCATTCAATTTTTTATGATCACACTTTTCTCAATAAATGTGTTTACATAGTTGTGTATATTGATAATATAGCTATTAAAAGGAATGTGTTACCAAAATTTCCCAACTGACAGTATATTTAAGTAGCCATTTTCTTATGAAATACCTTGGATGTCTTAAATATTTTTTGGGAATTGAAGTGGCTCAATCAAAATAAGGTATTCTTACTTTCCAAAGGAAGTATGCTTTGGATATCTTGAAAGACACTAGCAAGACTAATTGCAAGACTTGGTAGCCCTATAGACGCTAATTAGAAATTAAGGACAGAACAAGGAGAACTTTCTCCAAATCCGGAGAGATATAAAAGACTTGTTGGAAATCTCATTTTCCTAACATATCTTTATGGTTTGAGTCGTTAGTCAATTCATACAAATCCCTCATGTTGACCACAGGAATGATGTAATTTGCTTTCTACAGTACTTCAACAAGGCCCTAGGATTATTGTGTGGAGATAAAAAAAATACCCAAATTTATTGTTAATTATGATATAGATAGGCGTTCCACTACTAGGTGTAATGTATCTATTAGAGGCAATATTATTTCCTAGAAGAGCAAGAAATAGAATGTAATTGTTCAATCTAGTGCTCAAGCTGAATATAGAGCATGGACAATGACTTAAATCACAAGTGAACTTGTGTGGATCAAACAACTTCTCTAAGAATTACAATTTGGTGAATATAGGGTCCTAGGGTGTAGTATGTCTTATCAACCTTATGAATATCAGATTGCATATTTTTTATATTAATAGATCAGCTGAGAGTGATCTCTCAAGCTTCATTTTTCTCCAAAACTCCTTGTTCTCAACTACGCCCTATCAAAAACCTGGACCTATTCCGTCTAAAGAGATAATTACATGATTACATATTCCTCCAAGTTCTTCAGAGAAATTAGTACAAAATCAAAATTAAGAGATCAAATGCCCGGATACTAACTGATTGACCAATAAACCGATATACAGAACAGTGTCCTTCTAAGATAACCAGTTAAATTCCATAATCAATATTTCATCCAAATCTGAAATTTGCGGGAACAAAAAAAAAAAACAAAAAAAAACACCTGTCAAAAGATAAAATAGCCCAAAATCCACCAGCAAAATAAAAAAAAAAAAAAAAAAAAAGACTATTGATACTACCACACATAATTAATTACCAGATAACAAAACAGGTGATTCAAATGGATAAAAAAAATCCACCTAACAAATATACCGAATTAAAGAACTCAGAAAAACCATCTAACATCCACTTTCCTTTTTCTGAAGAAAAATAAAATAGACAACCAAATTTCATTGTTATCATTATTATTATAGAGAAATGACCAAGTTGACCAATCCGAAATAAAGGGTATTCCAAAGGGATGAAAAATAAACGGTAAGACACAAACCTGAGGAAGACATAAATTGAAGCGGACCCAGCAAATAATCAAATACCCATAAAAGAAGAAACAAAAAAAGTGACAAACTTTGAGACAAAAGTGATCAAGTACATTGAAAAAAAGGGGTCCAAGGGGGTAAGGCAAGGCCACCAAACCTTAAACACGAGAATTGATAACAGAACAGAGAAACCTCGTACGAAGGGAATGGATTGGTGCTTCAGTTCCAAGTGTTGTTGCTGTTGCTCTTGCTGCGATCTTTGAGCAAATGGGGGGTGCCAGTTTCTACACTAGTGTGAAAAGGTACGCGGTTTCTCTCTCTTTCCCTTCGCAAAGTACAATTCCTCAATTTCTTCTATTTTATAATAATTATTTACAAAATGGAAAGACAACCTAGGATTATAAAATGTTACGACCTTTTTTAAACCATCAACACAATTTTTTAATTTTATTATTGGTCTAAATTATAATTTTTATCAGCTGTAAAAAAATATAATTCAATGACTCGGTTTTGATAGAGTAATATTTTCATGAAAATTAATTAGAAGTCACGTTTATATTATTTTTAATATAACTATTATTAAAGTTAGCATTTTTATTTATTAGATATAATACTTTGTAGTTGAATGATAAAATGTATAGATTATTTTTCAAAATTTTACATTGTAAATAAATAAAAATTATCCTTAATATCACTGTAATTCCTTAAAAAACAAATATATCGTTTAGAATCAACAAAATTAATATGACTTTTAATTAAACAATATTTTGAAAACTTTTCTATTTTCAATTCGTGTGTGACTATTTTAATAATTTTAAAAGCTAAACATACCATACTGATTACAAAAAATAATTTTAAATATAAAAAATATTTAATAAATTTAATAATTATATATACTATTTTAGCCATTACCTTTTTCAGTCATACCATAAAAAGTACTTTTAATTTTAAAAATCAATTACATTTATTTTTATTCATTGCAAAATTAACTATTAGAGTTTAATGATTTTATAATTATATATTATGTTAACCACTGACTTTTCAATTATATCATATTTGATTATAAGGTACTTTTTATTTTAAAGATCAATTACATCTATTTTTATTCGTTACAAAATTAATTATTAGACTTTTAATAAAATTTTAATTTCATATTATTTTCATCGTTGACTTTTTTACTATTACATATTTTTAAAGTACATCTTTCAAATTTGTGAGCAAATAAATGGGAGTTACTTAACTTCTTTAAATATATTGGTTTTTAATGAAATATTATCTGTATGCTACGTATAATTTTGAATTGTTTGAATTAAAATAATTGTTTATATAAACAAATGTCTGTCAAGAGGTTTGGTTAAATTGAACTCGTGAATTATTATAAATTCTTCACATGTGAAAATTCTTAAGATAAATAAATAAATAAATATATATAATATTTTTATTAGAATAAAAATATATTGGATATTTTATAAATAAATTGACATGTGTGATTCTCCTGAAAAAGAAAGTATACTATTTATATTAAAAGAATTGAAGATTTCAAGTACATACATTGTCTCTCAAATTTCATTGCTAAAATATAATTAATGATAATATCATAACTATTGTTATAGCTAAAAGTAATTTTTTAAAATCCAAATTATGTAATTCTTGTTTTATAATAACTATATTAAACGATAAATTGAATGATTTTGTCATTTTATATATTGCTAAAAAATAAAATAAAAATAAAAATTATAGAACTTTATTAATAATTGTATATTTAACTTAAAAATAAGATTGGATAAATTATACTAAAGTAAACTTTAAACGTATACATTATAAGACCTAAAATGTTTGGACACAAAGAGCATGCGTTTTTTTTTTAATTGAGTTAAAAATAAGTGTTTCCACTTATAAATTCTTTATATAGTTAATCACCATATTGAAATTTTTGTTGTTCGTGTTTTTTATTTTGAAAACACTTCAGTAAAATTCAGAAAAGATGATATTTATATATTACCAAAATGGTTATGGACTAAATTTTAAAATAAAAATAATTAATATTATATATTGCCACATTTTTATTATACCTGTAACATATTTTTTACCTAATGAAAGCATTAATATTTTATTTGAATGAAATTATTTGGTAATGGAAAAGTCAAAGTCAAACTACGTTTTTGTTATTTAAAAATAAGGTTCCACGAATGTGGTTTGGAATGAAGTTATCGGAATTAAAGCTTCGTTCATTCAATTCATGTGCCTTTTGGAGGATAGTGGTGGTCAATTTCTTGATAACGTTTTGTTTTCATTTCCATTTAAACAAAATTTGTAACACTCAAAGCATTAAATTCTCATGAAACGAGTCAAGACTCAACTTATTTCCTTTTCTAATTGGAAAATTATACTTTATCTTCTGGTGAAAGTGTTTATGTTTTAGATATTATTCAGAGGATTAATTAGTTAAGATTTTATTTGTAAAGTAAATTAAATAAAAGTATATACAAATTATCTTTTGAATTCAATTTTTAAATGATATAAAATTGATAAATTTTTCAGAACTAATAATATCCTATAAAAATTCACTAAATTAATAAAACTTTAATATTTTTTATGAATATTATATTAAGTTATAAAATAAAGTTTCATATAGTTGTTGTTTTATTATATTAATTTGTAAAATATATTTTTTGTAACAATGTTGTTTGATTAAGATTAATATTATATGTGTAAAACTAGCCGTTTTTATTGACTGGTATAACGGTAGATTATTCACAATTTACCTGCCTCTGTTTTTTTAATTAATATTTTTTGACAAATTTACTTTACAAAATTATCCAATGGTTGATAATAGCCTTTTAAACTTTGTTTTATCTGTTAAATAAACTGAGTAGATACTAAATTTGGAGCCTTTCAAGTAATCTTTTCTCTCTAAAATAGTCTTTGAAGTGATAAATTGTATATAAGTAGTTTGTAAAATGTTTTTCCTGTTTTTTATTATAAAATATATTGTTTTGTATAGCATTCATCATTTGTGTTATAAAAATACTCTTAATTACTTTATATCATAAATAATAAATATTATAAATAACAAAATTGGGAAATTTTAATTTTTAAAATTAAAATTTTACTAAAATTAAACCTTTTCTATCTCTTTAGTTATATCTATATATATATATATATATATATATATTATTCATTTTGTGTGAGAGTTATGAGAAATTAATTCCTTATTTTTTTGGTATATGAAAATACTCTATTTAATAGAGTTTATATTATTTTAATATAATTTTTATAGTTAAAATGATTTTAAATAGGACAAAATTACTTATGAAACAATAACTATAGATTTATATTAAAAGAATGTATTTTATTTATAAAAATTATTTTAAACAAATTTTCAATATACATGTTCTAAAATAAAAATAAAAAATGATTATTTTAATTATATCTTCCAATTCTCACTACTATCATTAATACGGAATACTTATTAATTTATTTGTTATTAATCTTTATCAAAAATTATATCTGACCATTTTTAATAAAATATTACATCTTAATCATACAGTATTTTTTTTATCCATAAAATGTGAAATCTTGTTTAATCATTATCAGTGACATGTTTTTAGTTTCTCTTAAATATCATTAGTTTTTATTCCTTTTGAAATGACAATTTGTTCCCTCTAATTTTTTTAAATTATAATATTTTTATTATAATAAGCGTTGTTTAAACTATTTTTTTTAATAGGGTCATTTAAACTGCTTGAAAGATCATACATTTAAAACTAAAAAAAAAATTAAAAACATAAAGAATTTTTTGGAAAAAATAAAAATAGACATAAAAATCTGAGAAAGAAAATAAAAATAAAAATTATCTCTTCGTATGTTCGTATTCTTACTCATGCTGACACTGTTACTTCTTTGTCTCTTGAGTGACAGGTTTTTTATTGTGTTTTGGAGAAATAGATAGAATGAAATATTTTTTTATACAAAAAGGAATAATAAAGTTGTGTATATCTAAACTATTCCGATAGTATTTTTGTTATCAATATATTCTTTTTAATTTATTATTTTTATTTAGTATAATGTTATTAGTTTATTTTTATTTTTTAATCTTATATACAGAAAATCAACTAATAAGTAAAAATCATTTTATAATTTATTTATAATTTCAAACTCTCTTATTTAAACATTGAGTTTAGTAAGTCACTGTCTTATATATAAAGTGATATTTCTGTTTTCTATTATAAAATATTATTTTAAAGTATTCTCAATTTTTTTCCTAGATCTCTTATTTTATTGTTTCTTGTATTATATTAATAATTTGTTTATCAAAAATACTTGTAAGAATTTTAGTTCATAGATAATAAATGTTATAAATTATTTATTGCTGTGAAACTAAAAAACTTGAAAATTTTAATTTAAAAAAATGAAAATTCTACTACAATAAAGCTTTCTCAGTCTCTATCTCTATTTCTATATCTAACTATATATAATTAAACTTGGAAATTTGACAAGTTGTAGGTGTGTAGTTGTGGCTTAAAAAAAAGGAATTTTATTATAGTAATTTGTATTGACCTTTTATTTTTGGTATGATTTAGTGTAAATAAAGGAAAATCAGATAATACGAAAAATTAATTCTTTTTTATACAAAATGAAATATTAAAGTTTTGCATATGAAATATTATTTTGTATTGTTTATTAAAAAATACAATATATACCTATATATATATATATATATATATATATATATATATATATATATATATATATATATATATATATATATATATATAGAGAGAGAGAGAGAGAGAGAGAGAGAGAGAGAATTTCAAGATTTTATGCACCAAATCAGCACAGGGAGAAGCAGTCACCCTTCAATATGTCATTTCATTTTATTTTATTAAAAAACAATATTTTTATTGTACAATTACACAGGACATATGTTTGTTTTTGTGTAGATATGAGTTTAAAATTTAAATTAAGCATGATAAACATTTACCGTATCTCAGTATAGTTAATTTTAAAGTTTGATATTCTCGTTTCTAATTTCATAAATTTGGTCTTTTTATTTTAAAAATAACATGATTTTTATTCATCACTTACTATGCATATATGAACATCTTTTTATTCATGTACTAAGGAATATGCAGGCTGTGTAGTAAAGTGTTGTTGAAGTGGCTAGAGGCATGCAATCAACTTAATCATCAATTTTGAATGAAAACACTTTTAAGAGTTGTTCTCAGATAAAATAAAATAAAATCATTCTTACATTTTGAACCATATATCTTATCCTAGTCCTACATTTTGAACTATTAACTTTTTATTAATTTTCTAATATATTTTTATTTTTATTTTAAATTTAATAGGACTAGTTCAAAAAATGTTTCAATTGTTTGAAATGGATCTCACTTTTTATTTCCCCACATACTTGAGTTTCCTCAGAGTTTGAAATTAAATTTACCATTTTCATTTGTATTTCCAAATAAAATTTTAGAGTTTTAAAATTACAAAATAATATTGTAGTCCAATATAAATTGTTAATCATAAATTCAAAATCTACATGTTGGAAGTATTTATTATTACAAATTTACTTACAGTATAATTTTATATGAAATAATTATTATAAATTTAATTATATAAAAACTAATACCTGTCATGTAGATTGTTCATGCTAAAATACTAGTAAAAGCCTTCCGTAAGATAATAGTAAAAATATAAATAAATAACTATGAATATTGTGACTCAAAACGAACTTAAAAAAAAAAAAAAGAATAAAAATACTACGGGCATTTGAAAAAGAGCCATGAACATACGGAAACAAAAAAGAGAAGAAAAAGACCTACCTCCCCTCGGCGAAACATCCCCAATCTGCACCGTGAACCACACCGCGAACCACCTCCATGATTACCTAATATTTGAGGAATGTAAGGGCCTTAAGCCCACAACTCAACAAACCACCCGGTCATTGAATATGCATCGGTGGATGAGGAAAGTGGAGAGAACGGGGAGGAAGGACAGTTTAGGAAAGTGTGTTAAAAAACAACAAAAAGCCACAAAAATCAGGAAATTTTTGAAACATCAAATAAAAATAAAAAAAATCCAACGGTTAGAAAACTCACTCACACGACCAGTCTGGGTTCAATCCCATAATCCAATACCTTACCCAACACTTGAGTTGGGTTTGATATGATCTGAACAATTAAAATATTTGACTGATATCCATACCTACACCACTACTTCCTATTTGAATGACTTAACAGTGCATGATGAACATTAAACTTTTTCTTTAAGTCATATCATATCTAAAATGATTTTTATTTGTTGACGTGAAATTTCTTTCACCAACTGTACTAAAATCAAACATAAGCTAGATTTATACAATAAATAACGTTGAAGGAGGCTAAACGATTACAGCAAACTTTTGGAATATTCCCCGTGAAATTACAACTTGATATTTACTGAACAAAATAATGTTGCCTACACAAATGTAGTCCTGATTTTCTACACATTCATTCAAAATTTTATACAGTAAACCTTCGCACTATAAAAAAGAAAAAAGAATCAAGAGAAAATATAGATGTGTAAAGTATACTCATCTGACTAAAACAGTAGTATTGTATTAGCTATGTGCAGTTAGTCCAAAGATTTTGCTATCTATCAGACAAGATTGACTCACTCCATGAAAGTAGGAGATCCCTGACAACTGTTGGTAAGTCTGCACCAAAAAGATATCACATTAAGCGTGCATCATGCCATACAGTATTGGTAGATAAATTATGATAAAAAATTTAATGTAGTACTCGTAGAATTTTTCATATCATTTTTTTATTAGTCTTTGGTTAGTTTGTCCATACATTGAGTATTATTGTTTTTTGTCTGGAAAAAAAGCAAGCAAAACATACACACTGTCATTTGATCACAAACTAATTGTTAGCTTTTATAATAGTTATCTTAAAATTTACATGTACAGTGACTTTTTATAGGTTTACAATATAAATCTTTAATCACATAAGTCATGGTAAGTTTGTTGACCTTTAAAATGACTATCTTTGAAATTATTTACCACAATTTCTGATTGTTTTAGAGGGAAATATTTTAACAATGAAGGGGCAAAGAAATTAATCTTGTTTGTTCATTCTCAAATCCCTTTAAATATCACGACTTATGTATGTCGTCTCTTTAAATATTTCTTTCCTCATTTTTCAGAGCCATGCAGACACTCAACGGATAAACCAAACAAAAATCTAACATAGCGAGTATATGGGAACAAAGAAGTTGGATATCTCAATAACTTAATGAGGGACCAAATGATAAAATCGTGATATTTTGAGACAAAGATAATTAATTCTAGCTGAAACTAGTCAATTTCAAGGTTCACTAGATCTTTACCTCTAGCTACTTCTACAGCCACAGAAGGTATGTCTATCTGATCTTCGACCAACCTATACACATCGACAAGCTGTAGAGAATACGAGTCAGAATCCAGCACAAGATTGTGGACCTTGAAGGGAGTGGAAAGGGTCATAAAATTAACACAAACCTCTTCAATATGAAGCTTTGAATCCTCAGTCAAAGCAAGAAGAAGCTGTCTACGTATTCCTTCATCAACAAAGAAAAGGCGAGCTCCATCTTTGATTGTGTCAGTGAGGTCCAATTTTCTTTCAACTTTCCAATCTCTCTGGATTTTCCTGTATAGACGTGCCTCTAGTGAATATTACTGAATGACTCGAAAGTAAAACAAACAAGCAATGCGGATTTTTTTTATCAATGATAATGTTTTCACAAAATACGAACGTGTCTTTCACTTTCAATGCCGGATTGCTACTCATCTTGGCCACATTTTCCTTCGCAAGAACAATAAGGTTTTCAAGCCGTTTCCATTGGAAAAGACCATCTTTGAATAGAACCTGAAACAACAAAGTATATCAAATGAGGAGCAACATATGTATACAATTACATAGTGAGTATAATTAAGTTAGAATTCAGAGTTTCGAGGAAGATAGAATCACAAAAATACTTCTATTGGAGTTTGGATTAAGTATTTGTAGCTACTTAATACTTGCTAAGATATTTCTTGGATAGTGGTACTGAATTTCACACAGTGGTCCACTGTGCTTTGTTTGACCCAGGTAGCAGAGGGAAGAGAGAAAATAGACAGAACTTTGCAGCAAATCAAGCTTCTAGCATAGCTGACTGAATTGCATTAACATTTAAAGAAATGGGTGAAAGAAGAAAGATTCATCGATTCCGTTCCAAATTCCAATATGTTAATACAACAGAATCACCTTTCAACACTATAACACAGGTGACGTAAGATACCAGATGAAAGAAACCAAAGGACATAATGCCACAGTGTACAAATCTAGCTATCTGCTTCAAATTAAACCCATCATGGCTAACTAGCATTATTTCCAATGGCCGTCACAAAGAAATATACTTATCATGTGAATTCCAATATAGCAAGTAAAATGGCTTTTCAGCAAGGTAATATGTCACTATGGAACCCCTATGCCATCTTTCATCCCCAAATCCCTTGCAGTTTTTCTAACTAGGTAATGTTCTTACCTGACATACGATACTTTGACGTTATTTCCAAATCTATAGTTTGTCGTAACCCTATATAAACTTGAGGATTGTAAATTATGCAGAACAAAATTTATATGCATAAAAGCTTACGCATTTTGAACATAGTACTAACCTGTATGAGGCGTTCACGTAGAGCTGGATTTGGGTCAGTCAGTAGTCGCTTAGCCACATAAGGATAGGCAACCTATTTGAAATACTGGTATTCATATTAGAGTGAAAAATAACGTATGATAAGGGACAGGACAGTTTTGACAATTGCTCAAACTGATTCATTTACTATAATGAAGCATTTACTCAACAAAAAATATTTAGAACTTTCCTACTTCTGATATCATTATACAGCTTTCTTTCTTCTAATGCAACTTAAAAAAAATTACCTTATGAAAGTGTCATCAAATCAACTTGAAATCTGGACATGTCAGAAAAATGAAACTTTTACCTCAAGAAATTTGAAGTCGGGTTTCAGGGTAAAACAGATGCCTTCTTGGGTCAATAAAGAACGAATTACAAGTGAAAACCTTTCAGGAATTCGAATGGGATAATTGTAAACCAACTGATTAAACTTCCCTGCAATATATTTCATTAAAAATTAAAATTTGATCAAGGCATGCAAATATTGAAGTTTAATTGCAATTAAAACATAAATTGCAATCATTACTAGATTACATGAAATTTTAGACACCAAACTAAATCACTCTAGCAATGTCACGAGCTAAGTACAGGTTTGGTTTGACATTGGATCAAGCCAAACATGGATGATCTATATCTAAACTAAAACTACTTTGAGTAGCTTCCATTTTTTCCAGAAAACGATCTGAAAGTCTTAACCCAAAAACCAAACAGGCATTAAATTATACTATCTCAGAATAAATAAAAAGTAATTAGTTTTTTTTTTTCCCTGTATAAGAGAACAGATTTAATCCCTCCATAAATGCCACTGAGAGAAAATGTGGCATTGAGAGGTAAGAGTAAGATGGGACAACATAGCCAAATAACTTGTAACTAAGAGTCCTTGTGATTTCTTCCTCTTTCAGATTCCAACAGTATTCATGGTCGGTTGTTACTTCAACTACTCATTTAACAAGACAAGAAAATTCAATCTGAAATTGGAAAATTTATTTCAGCAAGCATTGGAGGTTAAGTCAAATGGTCACATTACAGTAAGGTTATATTAAATAATAAAGGAAAGGGCCTACCAGTGACACTTCGAAAATTAAAATCCGACAGTCCTTTTCCAGCAGAATTCTGCCAAATTGCTTCCAAAGCAGGAATTATAGGTGTGACATCAGTTCCTGGTGACAGGAAACCTAATCTAGTGAAATCATTAGCCATTTCAGCATAGTCCTCATTCACAGCGTGAACAACAGCATCAATTAAAATCTGTTTATTTTGCTGAAAAAATGGAGGCAGATCAACATGTTGTCAGCCACAAAAGAGCATGAAGAATGAATCAAAAAATTCCATGCTCAAGGGAAGCCATCCTAAAAATATTTTCCCATCTACATAATTGATCCTTAAATGTGTACCCAATAAGGGTATGTGTGCCAGTTCAGTTGGATCCCATAAACATATCCACTCATACCCTTCTCATCTATCCAAAACAGAAGGCATTACTCGTCAAAAATATAAAAACACCCTCATAAAAGGTATATCTATGAATATTATGCAGTACACATGTCAAGGACCATGGGTAAATGCACATAGTTTATGGTTGTACTTGTATTTGGTTAATTTTTAGGATGTTACAAGACAAGGATCTTCAATTGACTGCAACTTGTGCTCATGGGGTTAATTCATCTGAGTTTGAAGCATGACAGAGCTGAAATTATGGAGTACACATGTGACATGTCAAAGACAATGGGTAAATGCACATAGTTTATAGTTGTACTTGGTTAATTTTTAGGATGTTGCTAGACAAGGATCTTTCAATTGACCGAGTCTTGTTCTTACAAAATACAGTAGTAGATATTAGAGCTGAAATTATTGCTTATTTTTTATTTAATTAAAATAGTATATTTTACCTCTTTTATTCTCTGATACTTTGATCTATGATCATTTCAAAAAAGTGCCCGTCATGTATTCAATCGAATTTCTTATATATATAATGATATATTTCATTGGTGACTGGACATTCTTTGTATTTTTTTTTTTTTACCTTCATAGAATAACGTATAATCCCTTGACTTTCATCTTTCTCTTTCACTAATATACATTTTTATTTTATTAAAAAGATGCAAAAGAATGTGAATCCTTGTGGATCATTAAATGTGCAATCTGATCTGTTCTACTTGAAGGAAAGTTATCGAATTTATGAGAAAGATAAATCAGGATAAACTTGAGAACTATTTTAGATATATAACAAATCCATTATTTGTCCTACAGTCAAGTTAGTCCTTTAAACTATGCAGCATATAACTATGTATAGGGGCCCTAATCCTCTCCATAATATAACGGAATAAAATCAAATGAAAAGGCCCAGGCAGTATGAAAATCTTTTAAAACATCTGGCACTTACATCATTCACTACTTCACCTTAAAGGTTTTCTACTCTGCTGCAAAATCAGATAAATATAGCACTTGCTGTTATTCAAAAAAAAAAAAAAGGTATGTTTTGGAGGTCACTATGGGGAAATGGGGTAAGAGAAAAAAAAATATATTAACTAGATTTTCACAGCAGTTGTGTATTAAGAGAAACAATATTCTTCTCTCACATCAAAGAAAGGTAAGGGAGATCTAATTCATTACAAGAAAATAACATGTACAGTGCAACACATGGGTTTAAACTAACATGTATGATAAGTTTAGGCATATGACATTATCAACTATGAATGATAAATAAAGGCATGGTTGGTTAGTCCACCTACATCTGTTTAACTTAAAATCCACATTCACCTGATGGATGAACACAACTAAACATCTCATCATATGCAATTGTATTGTAGCAAACCAAAACAATAATTGATTGCCAGAGAGTCAAAAATGTAATGGCCATCACCCCCTACATGCTTGCCATATGAAAATTACCTGACTGAGAACAGCAACATTGCCAAAGTCCACATAAGCAATTCGGCCATCACGCATAGCAAAAATATTTCCAGGGTGAGGGTCTCCGTGAAATAATCCAAATTCCAACAATTGTCGTAGTGCAGCACTCACTCCAATTGTTAAAAATCCATCTACATCAATACCAGCTTCTTTGATAGCCTGATTCACAAGGAGAATTCTTAATCCACTAAACAACAAACCATGTTGCTTCACAATAGCTACAACATATAGTATTATCATCCCTAATCCAAATAAACAAACCTGTGGGTTGGTGCACCTGATACCATCAATCCATTCCATTACCAGCACACGTGGACCAGAAAATTGTTTGTAAACCCTAGGAATTTTGACAGTAGGGTCATTTTTAAAGTTCTCAAGAAAGTCTTCAAGATTACGGGCTTCCTGAAATATATAGAGAAATCAGTAAATTTATTTACAACAAATTTACAGTGAAAGACACTCAAAATGCCAAGAAGCATATAGTTGGTGCTTTGATAAGTTCAAAGCACCCACTAAACTTCCATGACAAACTCAAGGCAGTACTGAAAGTTACCAGGGTATAATCAAGCTCTTCCAGAAGCTTTTCACCAAACTCATCAACAATCAGCTCAGCATTACATCCCAGTTTCTGCATACTAATGCCATTTAAGAATGAAGCTAGGGTGCGGAATAGGAAAAGATCCCGATATATAATGGGCTCTATCCCAGGCCTCTGAACCTGCAAGAACACCAAAGTATGTCTTCAGAAGTGGATTTAATATTGATCTAAAACCTTACGCTGTCCCCTTTATTTATATTTTCGCAATAAATTTGGAGCACTTAAATCATATAAAACCAAAAAATATTTGGATAAGTTAAAGCCATATTTGACAACAGTAATTAGAAGGAAAAAGTCATAATCTATAATCAATAAATATAGACAGAGTAAAAAACAATTGGAAAAAAGAAAAAGGAAATGAACTCTACTGATTTGGAACAGTATGGACAATAACAATGACTCAACCCAACAAAATAAATATGTTAAACTGTTATGAACACATAGCTTTTAGCAAAGAATTCAGGTCACAGCAGGACAGTAAACTGTTATGAACATAAAAGCAGTGGCGAAGATGCAGCAAAAAGATTAGGAAAGCTAATTTAGCAGATAATTTGAAAACCTATTAGCTGATCAAGCAATGTAAAATGAAAACAGAGTTAAAACACAAGGAAAGAAAACAAAACCTTGATAGCAACATCTTCGCCAGTGGCACGTAATGTAGCTCGGTAAACTTGCCCTAAACTTGCAGCTGCTATTGTCTCTGATGAGATTTTGCTGAAAACTGCTTCAAGAGGTTGACCCAGATCCTCCTCTATGATTCTGAACGCAATCTAAGACATTTTTAAGATCATACATCAGAATTATAATGTCCAGGTGACAATGCCATGATAAATGTGTAGCATAAATACAATTAAAATTACAGTTGATGCACAGTGGTAAGCTTTACTTGATTGGGAAATGAAGGAACATCATCTTGAAGGATGCAAAGTTCATTCATATAATCTTCTCGAATGATATCTGGCCTGTTTGCAAGGACCTGTCAAATGAATGAAAACTTATTATCAGCTGGAAAACCCTAAACTAACCCTTGCTTGAATGAGCACAAAACCGAACAACACACCTGACCAGCTTTAATAAAGGAAGGCCCCAAATCACACAAGAGGTTCCTCAGCTGTCGTGCACGATATGGAACAACCTCTTCATCCCTTCCAACCAGGAAATCATACACCAAGTTAGACCAGTACAAGCCCAGATTCCACACTATCTCCACTCCTCGCAATATAAGTGACAAAGTGGATCCTCTTGATTCTAATACCTTACTCCTCACCTAATAACCAAGAGAAAAATGTCATCAAGTAAGTAGCTTTAAATTAAAATAACCATCAGCCGATTGGCATGTTTTTGTTTTCTCTGACTTCGAAAAGCTAACATCCCTCTACAAACAGGGACACTGAACCCCACTTATGTCCATCTTATAGTAGCATTGGCAACATACTTGACAGTTGTCATGCAAATAATCTGAAGTTTACATCTTATACCATACAGTATAGACTAAAATAAATCACTTAAACATCTGCATCTGTTAGGCAAATACCCCTTTCATTTGGATTTGTATTCTCCAACAAAGTGTTAAGCCAATATTTTGAAATTTTTTATAATTTATATATTGTATACTATTTGCATATAAATTCTCAAAAATGATAAAAATTACTCAATAACATCCATGATTAACAATAAACAGTCATAGCTGCCTTAAACCATACATACAAGTAAACACCAACAATATAGTCAAATACAAGTTTCTTAGATTGGAATTATAACTCATAATATTCTAAATTCAAGTCTTCTTTATCAATTTCACTGTTATTACATCTATAGATTTCAATTTTGGAAATTAAAATCCCAAATATAGCCTTCCAGAAAAGCCCTATTGTCCCCATTCTGAGGTATTTCTTGGAATCAACATGTAATGCCGCCACACTAAACCACTATGAGACAGAAGCCCCATAGCAGGCAGAGGTCACAGGGCACCGTTATAATGTTAAAACCTTTTTTTTTTTTTTTCAAAATTGAGAAAAAGGTGTAATTCATAAGGAAAACAAATGCAAAGTTGAAAATAATATGGATAACGTAGATGGTAAGAATTCAGTCCTTTAATTAGGGATTAGTAAGAATCCAAAGACTTCAGAGCACTAAAATAAAGCAACTCTAACTGGCACCAAAAACTAAACTATAATTTTTTTATATAAAGCAATAGGTATGCAGAAGCATCACTATTGTAAGGGACATCTCAACTACGTTATCACCTTCAATCCTATGAATCATGACATTGCATAAAGATTCCTAAAACCAGGTTGCTTTTAACCAATTGCACCAGACTCCTGGACTGTAACTAATTGTGATGATCACTAGTCCAAAGACTAATTTAAGTTTCACATGCGATGAGTGATACATTCACAACCCATTCATATAAATCCCGAAATTACAAAAGTAATTCTTGTGCCTATGAAATAACCAAATGATAGTATTTTATCCCATGACCTTACCAAACTGTTTAAATCCATGAGATTATGAAAATATGACCTGTAAAGATTCATTTTTTTATAATTTTACTGCTATATTTTGTAAGTAATTAAACATCTGCTGATAAGTTGAATGACTATGTTGAGTATTAAAATGGCTAAAATATTGTATGTAAGTTGGAAGCAACTGTTGGAATTGAGTTCAACTCAAATCCAAATTTTAAGATAGTGTAGTTAGTGTTAGTTCTATCAAAACAATCGTTACTAACTCATAATTAGACCGCACGCACATATCTAGTCTTGCAAACTTCACGATCATAATATCCGGTACTGAGCAAACAAATCGCACATTAACTAGTTCAACTCATGAGCTAGGATTTGAAGCTGAATCAGGTCAAACCCAAATTCTAAGACCAGATTAATGTGTAAGCCAGATACAACTCCAGTTGCAAATGAAAAAAAAAAAAAAACAGGCTGAATCAGCGATGTGTATCGTCGATGCTTCAAATCTAAAGGCATGTTTGGAGACCCATTTTATCATGTTAAACGACTTTAAGCTATGTTTCGATTAAAGTTCGGAAACTACTTTTACAAATTCAAATCCACCAAATGAAGGAGAAACTTGTTACTTTGCGAGTAAATAAATACTTTTGCAATCTCCCAACTTTAATCCAAACATGCACCTACACTGAGGGTGATGGCCCGGGTTTACTTGAACCTAACTGATATCCAACCACACACTAAATGACAAAGAGGCAATTGAAAAGCAGAGAGAGAGAGAGAGAGCGGAGAATTGAATGCGTACGTACGATCTCGGGCGAATATTTGCGGAAAGGGATGCAGACGCCTCGCTCGATGTCGAGCTGCTCCAGAGCAGTGCTGCTCGCTCCTTGCAGCGCCCTCGAAACAGCGCCGCTCGTCGCGGCGGAGCTCAAAACCCGCACACGCCGCGCCTTCTTTGATCGCCGAAGTGAAGATGTAGCAATCGAATTCCAGGTTCGCGGCAGCGACAGCGGAGTGTCGCGACCAAGAAGTTGAGGAACCGTGCACGATGAGCACGCATAGATGGAATCCATGGATGAGCGAAACCGAAGCTAAAATCCCTAAACTGGGAGCATTTGGTAGTGAGCGGAGAGTTGAAATTTCAGAATAATCGAAGAACCAAACTTGGGCTTTTGAAATATTGGTTTTTCCATTTAATATACTCGTGTAAGAAGAGGTGTTGCGGGAAGAGACCAAAAACACTTCACGCTTCGTGTGGTCCACGTGGCCGAACCAAACATAAACCACATCCACATTTCTTTCGGGACGAAAAAGTTTAATTTTATGTGGACACTTTTTGTGCTGAGTTGCCAACTTATCTTACAATATAAATAAATTCTTATCTATAGAAGTTTTAGAAAAAATATTTAAGAAATTTTAGAATAAAATTTGGCCTTTTTAATCTCACAATGAATGCTACAAATTGTATTTTAGTTAGTTTATTAGGGTTTAGGATATTATTATATTTTGTGAATAGAAATAAAATGAAGCTAATTAGGATAATATTGTGATCCAGTAATTATATTTTACTAGCTGTTATGCTTATTATTTTTCATAAATTTTATTTTATTATGATTAAAATAAATTGAGCGGTAATGGAATAAAGATATAAGAGGTTAAAAAGACAGAAGTATGTTACAGTATAACAGGTTTTTTGGGAATAGTTTATTTTTGTACAGTTTTTCTTTTTCTTTTCTCATTACACACTTTTTAATTATTAATTTTTGTTACGTTTAGAAATAGATTTAAATTTATAAAAATTTGACAAAATAAAATTTCAAAATAAGAAGTGAGAAATTACGCCTTGGCACAATCCAAACACAGAGACTAAACACAATATGTAAAATCGATTAATTTCTCTTTGACACCATTTTTATAGGAAAAAATATTACTATATATTTCGGTATTTTAGAGTATTATAGATTCGTAAATTTGGAAAAAACTTCAAATTGATAAATTTGGAATGTGTATTTTTTAATTTTGAAATAAATAATCTAAAATATATAAAAATAATATTCGTTAAAGTTTCAGGTTAGTGAATCATAATTTTTTTAAATTTGAAGTTGTTGTTAAAAGATTAAATGTATTTTCATTCTTATATATTTTTTTCAAATCATAGTTCCAATAATTATATTTTAAAGTTTAACAAATTATTTTTTTTAAATCAGTTTTTCAATCTATTTTTTAACAATAAAAATATATGACTAAATATAAATTTTTTTACAAAGATAAATTAAAATCATTTTTAACATTTATCAACTTTATTAATATGGATAATCATAATTGAATATTAAAATTAAATATAAAAGAAAATAAAAAACCACACGTCTCAATGCCACGCTATTTTATTATTATTGTCTTCCCATTGTGTGATTATTTAAAATTTTTCCACTGAAAATTGAACTCAATTATATAAATTTTATTTCGATCCAATTTTTAATTTTGTCCAACTATTATGTATTTTTAGAAATGAATCCCATTCAATAAAAAGTAGATTAATTGTTTGGAATAATTAAGAATAATGTAATTATAAATATTAATATATAAACAAATTTCTATTTTATTTTAATAAAAAATTAGCAATTTAAAATTGTTTCAAAAGTAACCATATGTACACAAGTCATAAATTATTTTAGACCAATTATTTCAAATTAATACTTTTCAACAAAAATACAGTTAAATATGTTTTTTAAATGTAAAAGATTAAAACATTTCATAAATATAAAATATTATTTTAGTAACTAATACAATTTATTTAAAATAAATTATTACTTTATAATAAAAAGAAAAAGAAAAGGAAAAGGTAGTTGTGAAATTGATTTCCACGATGTTTCACAGAAAATTTGAAAAAACAAAATGAGTTACTTTGGAAAACAAGTTATTTAGATAGTTTTTTAATTAAAGTGATATATTTAAAAAAATCGAACTCTGAAATTTAATTAATGTAGTTTCTTATAAAACACACACCGTTTAGGGAGGGTTTGGGAAAGGTAAAAGTTGAAACCCTATACGGCGGGAAAAAAGGAAACGTCCTTGGCGGGAATCAACCTAAAAAACTGACACATTTTTGTTTAATTCGTTCTTTGCTTAGCATAACCAACAACACAGAGAGCATCTACTGTCACTTCTCTCTCTAGGGTTTCGAGGATGTTCTCCAGCTCCCAATTCGATGCCACCACGGCCTTCTCCGGCGGCGGATTCATGTCCTCTCAGCCGTCTAACTTCAACGATTCCTCTCCCGCGCCGTCAAAAGTATGCTATCTCTCTCTTTATTTCTAATTTTCCATTTCTCTGCAAAAAAACCGTCAAGCAAAGTATGCACGCACTTCGGATAATTTTTTTTGTGAGAAATAAATCGAACGTGTTGGTGATAACCTAATTAGGGAAACTATAAGTAGTTATTTATTTATTTTTCGTTTTGAAAGCGACACACTGTGCTCTACTAACTGTATTATGTGTTTCGGTCGTTGAAGAGCCGCGAAACTCAGGGTTTGGTGCCGGTGACGGTGAAGCAAATAAGTGAAGCTTCTCAATCCGGCGACGAAAAGTCGAATTTTGTGATCAACGGTGTAGATCTAAACAATGTACGCCTTAAGCTTTTATTAGTCAGTTTTTGAATGATTTTTCTTTTGTTTTATCAAGAATCGTTATGTCGTTATATACATACATGTGAAGAGAAAAAAATAAAGCATAGAATAGGACTGTCATGGTACTCTGGTTTGAGATTTAGATAAATGTATATTGTAGTTTCTGTTTGAGAGTTTTTTTTTTTATGTATTGTCTGCGTAACACTTCTTAATTTCTATTGGATGCATGTGCAATAAAGTTTTACACTCACAATGTATAGCTAGGATAATTTATATCTTCCAGTTTCTAATTGGTTGAGACCTGAAAGTGGAGAAATCTTTACATTGACAATGCATGAAAATCAAACTCTTACTTTGCATGCTTTGATGTTTGCTTTCGGTTGAATAATATACACATTGACTGTGGAATTTTCATCTAAATAACTACTTTAAGAGTAAAGGTATATGCTGATTTTTTATTGGTTGAAAATGTAAAAATGTTTTATATTGACAATGCTTGCTTGTTGAACTCTTTTGCTATACGCATTTCTTGTTCAGGTAACACTAGTCGGGATGGTGTTTGAGAAAGTTGAGAGAAACACCGACGTCAATTTTGTTTTGGATGATGGAACAGGACGAATAAAATGCCGCAGATGGTATTTTGAGCATTTTAAATGTTATTTCAGATTAAATTAGTTATCAATTATTTTGCGTGTTTCTTTCCTGCTCTATTTTGGACCTTTTTTCTGAATACTTTTAAATGTTTAAGCTTTTTTGTGTTTTTTATTAGGGTTAATGAGACTTTTGACACAAAGGAGATGGAGGAAGTAATGTAAGTTCTTAAATATGGAAGATATGAATATGTGATTGTTATATTTCTAAACTTTAATTTAATTTTTTAATTTGATAGGAATGGTATGTACGTCCGTGTTTTTGGGCATTTGAAAAGCTTCCAAGGTGTTAGGCAACTTGTTGCCTTCTCTGTCAGGTATGTGCTCTATACACCCATTTTAAGTTATATTGTATCAATTGTGCAGTGGCTATTTATTTTCTAATTTAGTATGTTAGTTTGGTGCCTAATAAATATGATTCCCTCGAGTCTCCATTGAGATACATTAATAAGCACCGTCTTTAGTGAAGTTAGGAAGAAGAGTTAATCCTTGTTTATGTCATTAGTCATTACTTTAGATATCTAATTGTAACTTGGAGTGATTTTATAGAATGTGTTATACACATATTAATAAATAAGCACAGGTTCAAGTAAGTTATGGAGAAAAGTTAATCCCTGTTCATGTATTAGTCATCAACACTTTAGCTATCTATTTGTAACTTGGAGTGAAGGTTATGGAATGCATTACATACACAGATATTCCTTAATAATTTCGAACGTTAAATGCTCAAAACACGATTTACCATGTCTAATATTAACGATGTTTGATATTGAAGAATGGGGTGGCTGTCAGGGCCATTATTATGGAGGTGCCGCAAGTTGGTGATTACTGAGTGTCTCTTGGTTTGTTTCTGTATCTTCTAGTCATTGTTAAACTTATCAAGATATTTGAAGTTTTTCAGAGTGTTTAGTGTGAGCGTTGTCCAACTTGTTAACCTCACGGAATTTGTGGTTAGACTTTCATTATTGATGCTTGCATTATTTAACATGATGTCAAATGAAGTCCCAAAACATGTTTATTTGTAAGCTCACCCAACTTTGGAATTAACTAAGCTAACATTTAAAACCTTTAGCACAATTGATGTCAAATCTTGACACTAAAATCAATAACTACATAATTTGTTGACGATACTTCTTTTTCCTATTTATCTTTGATGGTTAGAGATTGTCATATTTAACTTTGTTCTTTTTTCTGACAGATTTAATTCAATTTTATTTTAATTTGAATGATAATTATTTATACTTCAATCTTTGATTATCGTCGGTGATGGGTGCCCAAGTGACCTTTCTGTAGGGGTAGGGTAGCATATTTTATTGAAGATTCAGGGTTTTTTTGAATTGATAAATTTAAACATGAAGTACAAAGCCTTACTGATATCTAGTTGTGGAAAAGTAATTTTCCAGATGATATATGTAGTTTTTCTATGCTTTTGGTTTTATCATATGCTTATTATTTCATTTGTGGTGTTTTACAGGCCCGTGACAAATTTTGATGAGGTCCCTTTTCACTTCATTGATTGCATACATAACCATCTTCGCTCCAAAATGAAGGTGCACACAGTTTTCATATCATATTCCACCTTAATACTTTTAGATCATAGCATGATGATTGACGACAGTGGATAACGCATGAACTTCCCACGAACATAGCAAATTCAAAATCGTGCATAATCCATCTATTGGACCATCAAAAGTGATGACTGTGGACATGCCCAGCTATGTGCCTCGTTCAATAGGAAACACCCTGATTACTTGTATATTTCTTTTTGTTTGGATCATAGGTGGAAGGAATCACCTCTGCAAATCCTTCATCTGTCTCATCTTTTAACACTCCTGTAAAACATGCACCGACTGGATCTCAGGCACCATCATCAAATCCAGTATGAGATTCCATATAACACAGTTGCTATTTGCTCCAGTTGTTTAATTGGATTGATGATACTATTTCCCTCATCTCAGGCATATGCTCAATATAGCGTGGATGGACTTAAGGATTGCGATAAATTAGTTATTGACTACCTGCAGCAGCATTCAGATATGTGAGTTAAAAGTTCAAATTTTTTTTTGTGCTTAATTCCCTTTCATTTATTATTCAATATTTTCAACAGCTGTAACTTTTAGATTCTCACCGCACAAAATTCACCTCAGTTATGATCCTGAATCATTTCAAAATTGGTTTAATTTGCAGGTCAGATGAACGTGGAATACATGTTAATGAACTATCCCGGGAGCTCAAGCTTCCAATGGATAGGATCATGTCAGTTCTCTTATATGTATCTTTCTCTTTGTCTTAATAATGCGCGAAGCATTTGCTTATGATGTACCTCAACTGTTTATGATGTCAGGTTGTCGCTGAAGACTCTTGGAGACGATGGTTTAGTATACTCCACCATAGATGACTACCATTACAAACAAGCTTGATATTTTATGTAACGATAAATATAGGTGAAGGATCGAGCTGGATACTACTAGGACATGAACCGAGATATATTTTGATTTCTAGTTTCAATTTGTAGATATGTTTCTGGATGAATTTATCTATTGTATGCTCAAAACCAAAAGAATCACATGTTAACACTTGTGAAATGATGTTAGGCCGCTTTGAAAAAAGTTGTATTTTCTTTTTTTTAGTTTCTTGGATACTGTGTTTTTGTTTTCAAAGCTATATATTTTGAAATTTAGTTAATATTTTTTAACTAGAGTGCCGCACATCAACAAATGAAGACGCACTTATCCCGGATATGGAAGACACTGGGGTTGATGATTATATACTATACATAATTAGAGATGTGAAACGGTCCGATCTAGTTGGATTTAGTCATACTGACAAAAAAACATTTGATCACCCAACTTATGTACATTTTAAAATGGACCATTCTAACAGAAGAAATATCTTCAGTCAAACAGTTTTATATTCTAATAACTCACCTTCAATTCAACTCAGATAATTAACAATTTAGCTAGCTCATAAAATATTATATTAAACTCAACAATCATTCGCAGTGTTCAAATGACCTAACAATTGTTAAATGTCATGCAAAATATTATAAAGTACTTCTTCGACAAGAAATATTACTCAAAAGACTTAAAATGACCCTGAAGTATATGTGCACACAAAATAATAGTACATTGTTTACTGAGGAAGACAAATAACCACAGACAACGTATAAGATAGAAAGTGTCAATGATAACATCTCCAACGCACACAAAAGGCAAGACCTTTCACCTCAGCAAATGAGTAAGTAACAACGCCAAAAAAGGCAAATACTCGTTGGCAATTCACAAGTGTTCAACAATAAAAACATAAAATGAAATTGTAGAAAAAAATACAAAAAACTACACATCATTACAACATTCTCGGACCCAATAAAACTACCATAACAACAAAATGTTTTCTCTAACATTTAACAAAATTATATATCCATGACTTTAAATAATGGAAAAAACCAACTTCGCGCAACTTTTATTTTCCTCATCTTTCTTTCATCGAACCCCAAAAGACTACTTATGAAGTTTTTTTTTTTTTCAAACAAATAAAATTTTGATTAAGTTATTTCAAAAATTTCAAATAAATAAAAGCGCGCACAACCACAAAAGAAACATTTATTCAACAAAATAAAAGAAATTTTTTATTTTGCCCTTCAATAGAAACGGAGGAGAAGAAAGGGACGAACCAGTGTTCAACAACGACAGTCGTTCTGAGAGCACCTTCTTCGTCTTCTTCTGCTTCTAGGAAGCACTTTCTTTGTCGTTATTTTGTAATGGTGATGATGATGGGTAAGTGGTGGTTAGGAAGAATAAGGGGTCGTTACTATTACCATAGTGAGTTTCTGATCCGATGGATGACGAGCAGCAAGAGGGTCCAAGACAGGAGCAAGAAGAAGAGGGTTCACGACCTCGAAGTCGCAACCGAGAAATGGAAAATTGTCTCCAAAATCATCTACTTAATGGAGCTTCTGAAGCAAGAGCCCGAAATGGTGATTCCCGTTCGCTCCCTCGAGCAACACCGAAGGAAGATCAACCTCCCCAAGCCCCATCGTATCTCCGATTTCCTCCACAAAACCCCCAAACTCTTCGAACTCTACAAGGATCAAAAGGGGGTCCTATGGTGCGGAATGACGCCAAAAGCCGAGGACTTGATGGAACAGCAACAGAGGGTCATCGAGGACCACTCTGACAAGGCTGCGGAGCACGTTACGAGGTTTCTCATGATGTCAGTGGAGAAACGGCTTCCCTTGGAAAAGATTGCTCACTTCAGAAGAGATTTTGGGTTGTCCTTGGATTTTAGAGTCAATTGGGTGCACAAGTATCCACAACATTTTAAGGTGGTGAAAGCATTTGATGGGATTGAGTATTTGGAGCTTGTGTCTTGGAATCCTGAATGGGCAATTACTGAGGTGGAGAAGAAATTGGTGAGAGGAGTAACTGAAAGTGGAAGTGGAAGTGAAAGTGAATTCCCTGGTGTGCTTTCACTTCCATTTCCTTTGAAGTTTCCTTCAAATTATAAGAGGGTATATCGGTACTATGCTGAAAAGATTCTGCATTTTCAGGAGATGTCTTATTTGTCTCCTTATGCGGATGCACATGGACTTAAGGCTGGTTCTTTGGAGTTTGATAAAAGGGCTGTTGCTGTTATGCATGAACTGCTTAGTTTCACTATTGAGAAGAGGTTGGTCACTGATCACCTTACTCACTTTCGTTGGGAGCTTGTGATGCCTCAGAAGCTGATGAGGCTTCTGCTCAAGCATTGTGGGATCTTCTATGTGCCAGAGAGGGGGAAGAGGTTTAGTGTGTTTTTGACTGAGGCTTATGAGGGTTCTGAGCTCATTGAGAAATGCCCATTGGTTCTGTGGAAGGAGAATGTTCTGGGGCTTGTGGGTTATAGAGGGAGGAAGAAGAAGTTTGAGGTTTGCAGTGAGGGGTCTGATATGGAGGGTCATGATGGTTTGGTTTTGGACCAGTGTGATTCTGAAATGGGGGAGTTGCATGTGCAGATTGAACAAACTGGTACCTTGGATTACGAGGGTCCTTTACCTGGGGATGATTCTGAGATGAATGTTGGAGAGATTTCCTGAACATATCGAAAATTTGAAAGTTCATGAGGTCAGAGTGTGCAATCTCTCTTCAATCCGGTGACGAAAAGTCGATTTTCGTGATCAATGAATGATTTTTCTTTCGCTTTTACGAAGAATGGTTTATGCCATGCTTCTGTGTTTATATACATGTGTAGAGAAAACAAAAAAAAAAAGACATAGAATAGTACTGTCATGGTACTCTGGTTTGATATTTAGATAAATATATCTTGTTGTGGTTTTTATTTTAGAGTTTAATTTTTATGCATTTCGTAAATTTCTATTGGGTGCATGTGCAATAAAGTTTTACACTCACAATGGCTATAATTAACAGTTATAGTTGGGATGATTTCTAATTTCCAGTTTGTAATTGGTTGAGGACTTGAAAGTGGAGAAATCTTTACATTGACAATGCATGAAAATTAAACTCTTACTTAGCATACTTTGATGCTTGCTTTCGATTGAATAATATATACATTGACTGCCTAATTGTCTTCTAAATAACTACATATTTCTGGTTCAGGAACCACTAGTGGGGATGGTGTTTGAGAAAGTTGACACCGACGTCAATTTTGTTTTGGATGATGGAACAGGACAAATATTCGGGGCATTTTAAACGTTATTTCAGATTAAATTAGTTGCTGATATCTAGTTGTGGAAAAGTAATTTTCCAGATTATGATTATGTAGTTTTTCTATGCTTTTGGTTTTATCATATGCTTATTTCATATTTGTGCTGTGTTTCACAGGCCCGTGACAAATTTTGATGAGATCCCTTTTCATTTTATTGAATGCATACATAACTATCTTCGCACCAAAATGAAGGTGCACTCAATTTTCATATTCCACCTGAATACTTTTAGATCATGATATGATGATTGATGGCAGTGGATAATGCATGAACTTCCCACGAACTCAGCAAACTGATGACTGTGGACATGCCCCAGCTATGTGCCTTGCTCAATTGGAAACACCCTGATTACTTAATGTATATTTCTTTTTGTTTGGATCATTGATGGAAGGAATCGCTTCTGCAAACCCTTCATCTGTCTCATCTTTTAACGCTCCTGTAAAAAATGCACCAAATGGATCTCAGGCACCATCATCAAATCCAGTATGAGATTCGATATGACACAGTTGCTATTTGCTCCAGTTGTTTAAATGGATTGATGTAACTATTTCCCTCATCTCAGGCATATGCACAATGTAGCGTGGATGGACTTAAGGATTGCGATAAGTTGGTTATAGACTACCTGCAGCAGCATTCAGAATTCAGATATGTAAGTTATAAATTCAAAATTTTATTTGTACTTGAGTCTTATTCATTTAATGTTAAATATTTTCAACAAATGTAACTTTTGGATTCTCACCGCACAAAATTCACCTTAGTTATGATCCTGAACCATTCCAAATTTGGTTTAATTTGCAGGTCAGATGAACATGGAATACATGTTAATGAACTATCCCGAGAGCACAAGAATGTATGATTAATGGGAATAGGAAACTAGTTTGCAGAAGGAAAAACATTGGTTCAAGAACTATTTTATCCAACCATGGAGGAAATGTCATACTAATCATGCTGCTGAAAAATGGCAGTGTATTCAAACTTGCCCATATTTTTTAAAATGTCAGTTTAATCAGATTACACTGTTTTTGTTGATGGCTTCATATCTCTTCCTTAGAAAATGACAGTGTAATGTAAAATATTGTATCTGCAAATCATGAATAAAAAGTTATCAAGAAAAAATATATTTCCTGTAGCAAAAGAAATAGTATCTACCAAGGAGCTTCAGACAACAATCGTTCTATATCTCTAACAACTATCATTTTGCAGATGAAAGATAGCAACAAACAGACAATAATTCTCCCATAAAACTAATGTTTTGTGAAACATTCAAGTTGTTGTGTTTGATGTAGTATTCCAAAAGTAAAGTCTCACATTGTGAATACTCAACTTTTTTTAAATATTTATACACTAACAGTTACCTTCAGTTTTCACATGGCTAGCAAGAGGTATGGGCTTGTGTGTACGAGTTTCAGTTACCTGGGTTTGAAGAAGTACAAATCTGACAAACTTGTAAGTTTAGTGTTATTTTTTCTTTTCCTGAGTTCACTTTATACTCTTTTAGCTTCGTAATTTACCATAGTTATCTGTTTGATATACTACATTAATCTTTAAGACAGGAAATCGCACGTCTAAGAAAAATATTTTGTTCGAAACTCAATCTTTTGATTCTACACAATTAACAAAATACTTACATTTTACCGCCTCATAAGTAGGTTTAGTTTTACGGGTTTCACAAAGTACAATTAACAATTGGAAAAACTAAGTGCCCAATATAAAATGAGACAAATCTGCAAAATATGAGTCCTGGGTGTCAGTAATATAAAAGTTTAATGCATAATAAAACCAAAAGTCCCAGCATTATTAGTTTGGCATTCCTAAAGCATGCATAAACAGTTAAATTAAGTACTTATTCCCTTACCCAATCAATCTTTAGCATCTCATTTGACAGTCTGAAATGTTCGAGTTAGATCCAATGGCTAATAGTACCAATATTGTTTGATGCTGAGGAGATAGCTTCGTCAGGATTCATTACTGTTAATACAAAGTTAAGACACAAATAAAAAGCACAAACACTGCTCCCTGCTGTTCACAACCTTTACTGAAAAACGAGATTGTAAAGAATCATCCAGTAAATATAGTAATGAAAACAGCAAGGGCAACACCTATGATAACTATTAATAATATGTACCTGAAATGGGAAGTCATTTATATTTTCTTACCATTCATATTCAATCTTGCACTCTTCTACCGAAGCCTAAATGCATTGTAAAAACATCCAAGTGAAGTTCCAACATATATAAATAAACCTATTTATGTATATTAAAGTCAAACAAATATGTATCAAAGAAGATGTTGGACTAGTAGTGTTATTTTTGAAGAATAATTTTTGCTCTGGAATGGTTAAGCAGTGGCATTTTCGGATGGCTCCATGGGAAATTAATGGAAGAGTAAATGGTGAACCAAAAAATGAAACAGTCAAAGAATGTGATGAAAAAATATACAGAGGAACGACCAAAAAGCAAAACATATAAAGGAAAAAAAAATAATGTTTAGTCAGTAAAATAAGATGAGTAAATTCAAAATTCTACATTTTACACTAAAAAAAAACTTTTCAAAATAATTTGCCAAGTTAAGTAAATATTCACCTTTGATAAATCAGAATATTGCAGGTACCAATTAACGAAAGACTCCTCTACCTCTCAAGTCAATCATTTCTACAAACACTGTAGGGGCATTTATAATTTCATAGATCCAATGCTCCTTTTGATGTCATTGGTCACAAATAAAATCCAAGCTATCATCCTTGCTTCTATTTCTTAGTCCCATACACATCAGAATAGCCATATACATCAGAAGCCAAGACGACTCAAAAACACACCAACCTAGAGTTGACAGAAAGGCCAGCAAGTGCAAACATTGAAACTACATGAAATTTTTTTCTTGAAAAATCATGTTATAAAATGATTAATATTTAAATTAAGAGATCTACTGATTAATTTGTATAGAATCTCTTACTTCAACCGTGCTTTTTTCCACTTAAACACTCAAACCTAAACTGAGACATGCTTAAGAAATTCAGATTAACTTTCACTCAGACCATCCACATGTTAACAGAAAGGAAAACGAAACTGTAATCGAGCAGATGTAGCAAATATTAGCAAAAAATAGAGTTAATTTCCTATGTATTAGTTGGCACCAAAGTTTCAACAGAGAGAGAAAATGAAAAAGCAGAAAGAAAAAATGGTATGTGAATTAAGAAAACAACTACAAATAAAAACCAAACGAGGTCTAAAAATCTCACAAGAAGAGAAATCATTTTTCTGCTTATTATTTCTCTCTGTTAATTATGAAATTACGAATTTTCATCAAATTATATTATATCAACACAACTATATGTAGCATTGTTCATGCAACTACACTGAATTCAACATTGAAAGTAAAAATAACAACAAAAGAAATAGAAGAAAGAAAATTATGTTTCATGCCACCTTCTATTTATTGCTTTAGAAAAAAAGAAAAAAACTAGAGAAAGCAATAATTGTGATATATTTATATCACTAATATGGTTACTTAAAAAAATGAGAATTTTAATATTTTACTTCTATTCTATTTTATAACATGTGAAAGCTTGTTGGATTACCAATAGTTATATAATTTTTGGGGTTTAGTATTTTTTTTTACATTTATTAAGCGTTTATTTGATTTAATTTTATTTTTTAGTTTTTTTAAAAAAGTTCTAAGATAATTTTAAAAAATCATTTTTAAAAATAAGTTAAAAAAATTATTTAACAAATTTATTTTTAAAGATTATTAAAGACGAAAAATAATAATAAAAGACCGTGGCAAAAATTAAAAAATATTTTTAATATTGAAAAAAAATATTACATATGTTTTTTAAAATTAAAAAACAAAAACAATTTTTAAATAGTTTTTAGAAGATGAAATAAATTTTGGTCAGTCAACGTTTTTGACTTTTGTTTTTTATATGCTTTTAGTTTTTATTATCGAATAATAACATTAATTATAATGACCTATAACATTCACAATCTAATATGTTATGAAATATTTTTGTTCAGTAAATTGTATTTTTAATTTTCTTTTAGTAGTTTGATATCATCAACTTGGTTGAATAAATGAGAAAAAAAATTATCAACAATTTTATACAAACTTTCTTGTCAAACTTCTTAATACCTTAAACACTATTTTAAAAATTGAAAATTATTACTCTTTAAATTGATTATCTCATATTGTGATTTTCTAAATTAGTCATTAAATCACTCTTTAAAAAGTATTGATCAAATTAAATTTTATTTTTTAAATAATTTAGTAACTAATTTTTTAAATTTAAAGATCAATAATATAATCTTTAGATGCAATTTTTTGGTACAAACAAATTAAATGAAAAAAACGAATGGCTTCAGTGATCTATTTTCTCCCTAATCAATGTCCGTATTAAAAGGGAAAAGCTAATGTACAACATTTTAATATATTTTTTAATTATTTTATTTTTCATTTCTTGTGTTATTTTAAATATTCAATGTATTTATTAATTTTTAAGAGAAGATAAGTGCCATCTAAAAGAGTATAAAAAGTACAACAACTGTTGGCATATTCATTGGCTGCGGGATTCTCTTTGACTCGGTCAACCTTCTCTTATGGCATATTTTTTTTCTTCTTCTCACATTCTCATTTAGTTGGTCACGATATTCTTTGCTCAAAGTTTTTACAAATGAAATGGATATTTGGGTACACGAACTTGTCTCAAAAGTTTTATATTGCACTAAAAATAGTGTGACAAGAAAAAAAAAATACTATTTACAGAGAGAGATAATTAATTTATGTGACTTTATTTTATAAATTGATAAAAATGATTATTTATTGTAAATTTAAGTCCCACATCGAGTATGTATTAGATAGTAATTAATTGGTGAGAAAACATGGACACGTGATCAATCAATTCCCTGAACTTTTGAGATGTGGTAATCCATGGAAGTTGGGAACAAGCAGACAAGCTGTGGTTATCATCAAAACCAGCTCCTCTTTCTGTTTTCCTTAACCAATCAAACCTTCAACCTTTGTACTCAATTGCCCTCTCCACATTTTTGGAACACGTGTAGACTATCCAAGGTTGTTGACACGTGACAAAATGTGAAAAACCAAACATGGGGTTCCTCTCTCTCTCTCTCTCTCTCTCTCTCTCTATATATATATATATATATATATATATATATATATATATCTCACTTTCATTACTTATGGTAGAATCCACTCAAAGCCTCACCATGAATTAAGATTAAAATATTAAACTCCACACACACCACTGTCCAAGTACATGTGTAGAGACCAGAAAGAGGGAGAAATTAAGAAAGGGAAGTATAATATTCTTCATGGAATGCATAAATGTTATTAGAAATCAATATCCATATGTTACATAAGCACCCCAAATTCATATATATACTAGTTATCATGCACTCCACACCATCTATCATCTTATAGCTTATGAACAAAAAAACCCCAAAAGAAGAAAAATAAAAAGGAAAAACCCCAACAAACTCTAATATGTAAGAACACGCCAACATGAAGAACTAGACCAATAGAAACTGATATTAAAAGAAAAAATAGAACACTACTAGAGTGTGGAACATCAACAAATGAAGACTCACTTATCCCGGACATGGAAGACATTGGGGTTCTTGATGACTATATCGTACATATTGATGGAGTTGAACTTGGAGAAGTCTTTTGGGAGGGAAATTAGGTCGATTGAGGAGTGTTTGTGGAACTGGTAGAGGTCAGGGTCTCCATCATAGTACCTCTCCCAACCTAATCCGGTTAAGATTTGCTCAAGAAAAGAATAGGAAGAAACCACTTCCCCACTTGGCAAGTGCACCAACACCTTTCTCTTTGAGCTACTTCCTTTCCCTTGCCTTCCATCTGACCCCTCAGCTTGAGGGTTTTCCACCAAACGAAACACACCATTCTTGAACACCCACACCCCAGACATTTTTTTTTGTCTTCCCCAATTAGATTTTAGCTTTGCCTTGTGAAGTATGTGAAGGGTGGTTCAATTTTGAGCAAAAGGGTTTTTTCAGAAAAAAAGGGTTTTTTTCAGAAAGAAAGGGTTTTTGGGTTTAGAGCTCTGACAATAAGGAGCAAGAGAAGGGGTTTTGGTTTTGGTTCTTGTTGAGGAATGCCAAGGGTGGCAGAGGGTATATATATGTGTCAAAAGAGGATGAGGCTAAATAAAACAAGAGGAAAATACTCTTGGAAGTGGAAGAGTTAAAAGTATGGGCATGTTTTCGGCTTTGGCATATAGAATCTAGATTTGTGGGACCTCACTCTTCCAATAATAAAATATGATTGCATATGAGTGACCCTAATGCACAAGAACTAGCCATTTAATTATTTTTTTTTTTGGGAGAATCTCTTTGGTTTAATTTGATGCATAATTTTATTTTTTAAGTTTAGATAAAAGCAAAAAAAAATATTTTTTTTTATAAAATTGAAAAGGTGTTTAATTTTTTTTAGTAACATTTTTCCTTTCCTCCTAACAACGTGTGAGTGTAAAATGACTAATCAATACATTAATTGATTCAACTATATTTGTTTTATTTATTTATTTATTTAGGATTTATTAAGGAATAGAGAGGGCATGGAGAAGAAATAGAAAGTCAATGGAAGAAAGATTTGGTAGGACGTTGATCACGAGAGTCCACGTGAAGATAGTGGGGTTGCTTTAGATGTTACATGAAAGTAGGAGCTGTTCTTGTGATGTTGGGTTCTCATCATTGGGAATAATTGCACACCTTATTGCCTAAAACTACTTTTTCTGTTTTTCTTTCTCCTCACACAACACCTCATTTTCTTCATATCATAATCTCATAATTAACTAATAAACAAATTTATTAATTAAACATCACATCATTTTTCTAACCACACACTTATCATATCATTTAAGCCAACAAAATAACTATAAAATTCACTATTTAGTTTAGTTGAATATAAGTAAATTTTAATTATTTCAAAATTATATTTATTAAAAAATATTAAATAATATCTAATTTAGAGACAAAAACATTTGGTCATGTATTAACTAAATTAGAAATTATTTTAATTAAATTGACATTTAATCTTAAATATTAATGTTTTACCTACTAGAATCTAATTAAATTATATTTTAAACACTCATTTAATTAAAAAAATACTTTTAATTTCGTCAATGCGAGCTTTATTTTCAAAAAATTATGATGGAAAATTATACTAATATTATAATGATTGTATAAAATTGTTTTATATATTATTATGCTTTGTGATTAAATGATGGTGTAAGATTATCTTATTATATTGTTAGAGTATGATCATTAAACTCCTTTTCACACAAAATGAAAAAAAAATTATTAAATGAATTAATCGGGTATTAAATGAATAGATTGTTATTTTTTTAAAGAAAAGAAATAGTGAATTGGGTAGGATAGATCATGAGTCATGACACTATATTTAGAAAACCCTTAGAAAAACATTTACCAATTACTATGAACAAGATTCTGACACCAACCTTGTATGATATGACTGAATAGATTATGAGGATAAATATGTATGTTAGGTCACATTACATATATTAGAAGTTGTTATATTCCCTGGGTTTGTAGAGTATCAATTAGAAAAAAATGAATGAATCTTTCTTTCTATTTTTCTTTCTTATCATAAAGTTTTCATGTTGTAAAAATAATATGAAAGTAAACGTACGGTTGTGAACTGTTAAGTAGAAGCTGTTATCTCCTAAACTTAGCGTAAAGTCGATTTGATGCGTTAAGAATGTATCTTTTTGTTTGTACGAATGCGTATGAACAAAGAATACAATTAATAATATTATATATATATATATATATATATATATATATATATATATATATATATATATATATATATATATATAATCACTACTTATTAACCCTTCATATACACATAACTAATCATCATTTTGTTTTTAACATTTAGAAATGGGTTATTTACTTTTTATCATTTATTTTTAACTATTAGAAATAGGTATTTTGTTAGAAGACTTGTTTTTTCTATTATAGTTTTACATATGTGTCATTTTGATCCTATTTATATAAATAAGTAATTTACATTATTTTACTTATAAATATTGGACCAAAATTATTTAATTTTGAAAAATAGAGGATAAGAGCTACAATTAAAAATTAATTGACACATTTTGAAAAAAAAGGACGAAAAGTAGATTTAAACTAGTTTAGAAACTATAAATATTATATAATATAGAGTTTATTTATATAATAATATAATTAGAATTAATTTTTATGTACGAAGTATTATTTATTTTAGGATTTAGTCTGTTACAATTTTATTTTTAAAAAACGTCTTAATAAATTAAGATAAGAAGATGTATATAAATTATTATTCTGTTTAAGTCTTAAGTGATATAAATGGAAAAACATATTATTATTTTTTTTAACTTCAATCAATTAAGGAATAAAAACAATGATTATTACTTTCTCTTATTTTTCATTATTTTTCCTTTTGTCTAAATGACAATAATAACACAAATGTCATAATTTTCATGGTTAAACATTTACAAAAGTAATAAACACAGAACATTTTTTTTAATACAAATCTTTAGAAATTAAACAAAATAGAAGAAAATGGCACTGACATTTGTAAGTAATTTGTTAAAAATAAAAACGATTACACAATAAACGTTTTTCATTTATTTATATATTTCCACATACAATATTAATGAAGATTTTTGATGTATGAAGCAAAGAATCTATGAATGACAGCTAACAGTGAGCAATGCCTCTGGTGTTTGTTTTTATTATTCTTTGAAATGTTGGAGTTTCCTTTCCTAACATTCCCTATGCAGATTCTTCATCCAAACCATTTTTCTACTCTCCAACATTTTCCACAGTTTATCTTTATAGCACTAGAAAAGCCAAAAGCCATTCATGAGTATATATAATAACTATATATTATAAAGTCAAAATCAATTAATTAATTAGTTTTATAATCATATTCCCATTTATATATTTTTAAGGAATGCATATTTATTTATTTGATTAAATTTGATTTTGATTCCTGTGTTTTTAAATTGATAAACTAGTTCTTAAATTCTAAAAAAAAATGTCACTAAATTGGTTCTTCATTAAATTTAATCTAAAAGTGAAATATTTTCTGTCTTATTATTATTATTATTATTATTATTATTATTATTATTATTTTCAAATATTCATAGATGGTGTGAACAAGTGAAAATTATGTACATTGTCGACACTGAAGAGGATAAACATGATTTCATTTCAAACTTTTCCATGCACCTTTATACATTGCTTTTCTTTAAATCCTTGATATTACTTCTTCTTTTGGCTTGGTGTGGTCCATGATTTGGTTAGCAGTTATAATTAGTAGATGATTGCATTATCCATTAGGGTTCTTCTAACCCCATGATAAAACATGCCCTCTGATTTTAGGTCACTTCAGAAATGATTGGTCTTTAAAAAGCCCCTCAACATTGCGAGGACCACAAGGGTCTCACTTATCATTATCATTGTCGCATACTTATACTCTTATTCTGTTACCAGAGGCAACACAATTCACCCTTGTTGCTTAATTTTTCTGAGTTGCCCATATGGCATCACATGGGCCTTGTAGGGTTCATGGTCCTCCACACATTAAAGCTTCAAAATTTCAAAATCTTATAAACACCCACCTTGTCAAATCAGTAATCAACACACAAGACTACCAAAACAGTGCAACAGGATTTTTTTTTCTTTGGGTAGTGTGAAAAGAAAATCAGTTTCCATGTGGGATGAATGAATATCTGATTTAGATGATGGGAATTTTAATTTTTGAAAGTGAAAAAAGAAGAAGAAAAAAAGTTCTTTTAAGTGTAATTCGTTGATCATGTAATGAAGATATAAACTACAATATGAAACCAACATTTTATATTCTTTTTTGGCAACTGTTTATACATTTTTTAGGGTAACAACAGTTTGTACTATAAGAAACAAAATGGAAAGAAAAAAAACTTTCACTCTCTCTCTCAATCTCTCAATCAATACTTTTTAACTAATAATGACGCATGATTAATAAAATATCATAGTTATTTCTTTTATCAATGAAAATGTTTTCTGTTAATTAATTTTTAGTTAAGAAAGGAGGAAAGGAAAGAAAAAAAACGTATAAAATTAATTCATAGAGTGTTTTTAATTTTGTTAGCTTACAAATACTTTAAGATTCAATTTATTTTTTCAAAAGAAAATAAAAATTATTTAACTTCTTTTATGTTTTGAACAGAAAGAAAGAAATTCAACTTTTTACTCAGCTTTTCTTAAGAAACTATTTTTCTTATAAAATCAAAGCTATTTAATTTTTTGAGATATTAAAAAAAAATGTGTGACTGAATTCTTTTTCTCAAGAAAAAAAAAGACCAAACATTGTATATCTCGATTATTTTTCAATCAATAAATCCATTATAATTAGTAAACAGATGAACTTCTTAAACATATTGGTAGGGTTTGTTCTAAGGTCATGCATATGAAAAAGCTTTGATCAGAGAAAGGAAAAAAAAAAGGTGTACACTGCTATAGCAATAAAATAAGCATGGTTCCATGGGAGCCGAGGGGTCATGGACCCCTAAAATTTATAGCATCTATGTAATTTATGATTTTTGTTCCTCCAAAATATTTAATATATTTATTGAATATTTACTGATTTTATCGCTTTCGATCTCTCCTCAGTTTTTTAACTCTCATATAATTAATGATTGTATCTCACTCAAACTTAATGATCATTTATGTATATTTAAGTATATATACTATAATTTTATCCTTTCACCTTTTTATCTTCTTTTTTCTTTTTATATTTTATTATTATTTATTAATAATATATTATTTGATCCCTTAATATCAATCGTCGGTAGTTACATGCATGCACTCTTTCAAAATAAACTAAATACAGAAACACATTTGGAATATGAAACCTCAT